CAGCCGGCGCTGGCAGCGGCCGGAGCGGCGGCGGGAGGCTGGCAGCGTGGTGCCGCGCGAGGTGGCGGAGGAAGGAGGCGGCTTCAGCACCGAAGCGCCCGACAACGACGAGACGCGCCCGTCGCGCGCTCGCGAGCTCGCGGTATGTTTGGCGCCGCTTGCGACGAGCGGCGGACTGCCGTGCCAGGGCGTGCGGCGGCGGCTGCGGCTGGCCGGCTCGCGTAACCGGACTGACGGTGGTTGCATCAATCGCGAGCTGCGCCCCGTGCCAAAGGGGCAGGCCGTTCGCGACGACCTCAATGCAACGCGCGTCGCTGACAGGAACATCGATGTTCATGTCAGCGAGCCTGACGTTGCGTGCAACGCGCGCACCGCTCTCCCGGCAGACGCAGCTGAGCGGTGTTCGCCCAGAGTGTTGAGGCGGCCTCGGAACCGACAGCGGCGCGGCGCCAAGGGGAGCGGCAAACGCAGCCGTCGCAGAATGAGCACGCGGAGGTGTTCGGGGGGCAGGGCGACAGTGGCAGACGTAGGTAGCACTGTGAGGGCACGACCCGAGCGGGGTCCAGCTTGCGAGAGCAGCAGCGCTCGGGACGCAAGGGTAAGGTGGGAAAGGTGCGTCTCGAGCGCGCGCTCGTCACAAGCGGCGACGGCAGCTCGCTGCCAGCCGCGCTCGCTGCCAGCCGCGCAGGTGGCCGTCCCCGTGCGGAGGGTGGGGTCCGGCACGAGCGTCCTCAGCGTTCCAATCGGGTGCCGGAAAGCCAGCCTCACGCATTCGCATTGCGGCCGTGCAGGCGGCGGCAAGGGCTGGTGGCATCCCGGCATGCGGCTCACGGAGGCAAGCTTGCAGCCGCGCTGCATCAGCCGGGAAGCGCTGGAGCAGCGCAGTGCCTCTGCCTCCTTGGCTGGCGGAGTTCGACGCTCCTGACCTGCTGGCGGTCGACGCCGCTAAACTGAGCGCCAACCTGATCCGGGCACGCCGGGGCGCCGCGGCAGGCCCGTCAGGTGCCACATGCGAGCACATGCGCGTGCTGCTCGATGATGAGGATTGTTGCGGGGTGCCTGGGCGGATTTGCCTTGGCCGCATGGTGGCCCTCCAAAAGCCTGCGGGGGGTGTTTGGGCCTTCATCATGGGCGATGTTTTTCGGCGCCTCGTCTCGCGCACGCTCGCCCAATTCAGTGCCCAACTACAGGAAGCTTGCGCCCCGTTCCAAGACCACCAGAGCAGGTACGGAAGCGCTGGCACGTCCTCCGCTTCGCCACGGAGTCCAATCAGTCTACCACCGTGGTCAGTGTTGACGGGGTTGGAGCCTACGAGCACAATTCCCAGAGTTGCATGTTCCAAGGTCACCGCGATTTCCCAGCTCTGGCGCCCCTCATCCTTCTCGTCTGCGTGTTCTATGGGGGAGACAGTAAGTACCTGTACTACAACGAGTGCGGCCACGCCCACGTCATTTCCCAGGCGGAGGGTGGAGAACAGGGGGATCCATTGATGCCCGGACTGTTTGCTGTTGGCACCCACCGAGCGTTGCAGACGACCCACTCCATACTTGTAGTACTGTACCATGTGAGGGTTGTTGTAAACTGGCGCATTGTGCCGAAACAGTGAGGTCATGAAGTTGCTTTTGGGTCGTGGGCATTGTATGCAGGCTGAACAACGCAGTGGGAGCAATCAATCATTTGCCGCGTGCTCGGGCCAACAACCTGACGAAGTTGGCAGTTTCAGCACTCCAGCGTCCGCCAACCTCGATGCCAGAACGACCAAGCGACAGCGCGCTGCACGCCTAAATTCAGGGTAAGGGCGTTCCTTGGACCTGCGGGCCTCTGCAAGGGTTGCGCCGGGTGATGCCACTGCGGCGTCGGGGTGCCCCAGGACGTCAGCGGGCACCCACGTGGTGTATCGTGGTGTCCAGTCACAATCACCTCAATGCGCCGCTCATCGGACGAGCTCGCAGACCAGCACATTCGTGGCCACAGCCACAGCTGCTCCGGCCTCATGGCAAACACGTGCCAACTTGTTCTTTTTGCCAATCGCCAATACCGCCACTGTTGATGGCGAGCTTCCACTGCTCAGCGATGTTCCGCGTTGCCTACAAGTAGTGAGCCCTGCGCCGCCCGAGTTCTTGTTGCACTGGGGCCGCGAGGAAGGTGGTAAACAGGCGTGCAGATCAAAAAACAATCAAATTTCAACCGATTTCGAATTGCAACACGTTGTTTGTGCAGGACGTGCTCCCCAAGCCACTTGCGAACGGTGAGCGAGTTCGACTGCGGCCCTTTTAGTAACATCTCCGGATAGGGAGTGCCCTAGGTGTTTGTGCGTCTTGCCTTCGAACAACACTTCCAGCAAATCGTCATCGGCTTCAAAGTACAGCGTTTCACTCCACCTCCCGTGGACGGGCGGCTGCCGATCTCAGTGAGGTCCTCGCTGACCAGCGGTTTGACGCCGCACCCCCGCTCGCCATCCCTGTCGGCCAGTGAGCACGGACGACGCCGACTCTCGGACAGACACCTGCAAGCAGAAAAAGGCGTGGAGATAACACATGTGCAGTGGTGATTCGAGAGACGACGTTGTGGAAAAAAATATCTTGGTTGTGTCCGCATTCAAATGCAAACCAATTCTGCACTACTGTTGCTTCAAGAACGTGATCATGGTGGTAAGCTCACTACAAGACTCCGCAACACTTCGCATGAAGCAACAAAACGAATGTTTGTCAACCGCCCTGCAACTCCAAAATCCTGATGACTGAGATGCTGCTTCCACCTAAATCCAATGCACATTCCAAGTCGAAAAGGCTGCGAACGATGCACCAGGCATGCCAGCCGCATATAGCCGCATCCAACGCTGCAAAAAATGACTCGATTGAAAGCTTTGCGTAAGTCAAGATTGGCACACCACAATGCGCATCCCATTCCGCACACTTTCCGAGCATTGTACCAAGTACCACTAATGCATGTTCCACCCCTGCACAAGGACGGAAGCCCATGTGGTCTGGTGACAATGTGGGTTCCATCAGAGGAGCCAAGCGTCGCAATAGTAACTTTGAAAAATGTTTTGTACTTGGCACTTGCGATTCTTCACGCACTTTTTTGCGACTGCAGACGATGGTCTGCAGGCCGCTGTGGCAGCCTAACTGTGCGGCAGCAGGCGACTGGATTGTGGGGGGCGCCTGCCGCCGCGCGAGGAAAACACTTCGTCAAGGTTTGTCGCCGTTCCGTCGACGCAGGACTCCCTGGCGGAAACTCAAGCAGGGAGCTAGCATGTGCGCGCTGCGCTGCCAGTGCCAGCAAGCAAGCACCCAGGCCGCTTCAATTGCCGGGGCGCCAGTGCCGGGCCAAAAGGCGGAGGAATCGAGCTGCCCGGGGTACGTCTGCTGCCGCTTGCGGCGCGCAGCGGCATCGACGGCCTGGCAACATCGGCGCCTGGCTGCGCATCCCCCGGCAGGTAACGGGGCTCGCGCTCCGGCTTCCTGGCAGACGCGGGCAGCCGGCGCTCAACACTCGATCGTGGCATATTTTGGCGTATTTTCGTTGGCGTCCTGTGAATTCTTGATGCTTTTGATTATTGTGCAATGATTGCGCATGCAAGCAAACAGGTTTGTTTGTGGCAGGCAGTAGTTGAGCAGTGCATGGCAGAAGACCGCAGCGTTTCGCAGCCCATAATTGTTCAGAATGGATTGGTGAGTGAGCCCACAAGGGCAACCTCCGTAGCTTGATTCCCCTGCCAGCCATGGAAGATTCTTATTGGTGGGAGAAAGTGTTTCTCGTGTTTGTTTCGGTTGTGTACACGATCTTCCCTTTGGTGGCATTTTTCAACCGGCGCCACCGTGTCACTCAATCCAAAGTGTCTGATGCGATGCGTGAATGTGAATCTTGTTCGGTGGATCTAGCACATAGCCTTGTGCCAGAGGCAGTTCTGCCAGAGTACCGATTTCGAGGGATGCGCTTGAAGATGTCAGCCATTCATGTCGGCTTTGACAATGTGGGCGTGAAGTTGAAATCTGATGGGCGTTGCATCTTGGAAGGTGTCACTGGCGCATTCCGACCTCGGAAAATGGCTGCCATCATGGGACCTTCTGGCGCGGGCAAGACCACGTTCATGAACGCCATTTGTGGCCGAGCATACTACGGGACCAGGGCCAAACAATTTCAAGCTGTAAAAGTGGCACATGCATCCGTTATGTTAATGTTGAAACATACAGCGGCCCCAGGAAGTTTTCCCTGCCCTTATGAGACCATCAGCCTCCTTGAGCTTCTACTTACACTTGTAGTGTTGTTTGACACCTGCAAGGTTTGGGTTTTGTGCACGTGCCGTGTCCAACATCCCCACAAAATCCCACAAGCCCCTTGGAGCCCGCCACCATGTCAGCCAAAGACCTTGCGTGCGTGTTTGCCCTGGAGGACGGTGAGTGGTGAGATTCGCATCAACGGACACTTGAGCAGTGTCGCCGAGATCAAAGAGCTCAGAGGCTTTGTCCCGCAAGACGACATTGTGCATGAGCACCTGACCGTCCGCTAATTGGCATGCAAAAAGGTAATCAGAAGGCTAGATGGTTCATGCAACTCTGGTATGAGCACGAAGATAAATTCGAACGCAAAGGATGCTCAAGTAAGTTGCTGCGTTTGGCAATGACTGAGGTGAACAGATATATTATTCAGCAAGGCTGAGGAACCGCCGGGACAAGACGTCGGCCCGTGTGATTGATTACATTGTCGAAGATGTGTTGAACGTCATGCACTTGACGGACGTTCAGCACAGTATAGTCGGCAGTGCAGAGGAGACTCGAGGCATAAGTGGTGGCCAGCGCAAGAGAGTCAACATTGGCTGCTTGGCTAGTGAACGTAACACAACACAGGACAGTACAGCACACAGCCTTGCACGAATAATCCGAAATCGGCCCAGATGAACCGGGGATTTTTACAACATGTTAAAATCATGAGAGCCTTGTGGGTTGTGGAGTCTCCGAGTCTGAGGATTGGAGTTGGCAGCACGGCCAACGATCTTGATGTTGGACGAGCCGACATCTGGCCTCGATGCCACTACGGCCTTGGACATCATGCGCTCACTGAAGAAGTTGTCAGAGATTGGCATGACAGTCGTCATGGTAGTGCATCAACCACGGTACTCCTTATTCACCCTGTTCGATGAAGTGCTCCTTCTTGGCCTGGGAGGGAAGACTGTTTATCTAGGCAACAGCAAAGGTGTACTGCCATATTTCACCAGCTTGAGCTACAGAATGCCCGAGCATGAGAATCCTGCCGATTGGTTTATGGATGTCATATCAGGCAAGGTGAAGAACGAAGGCAACCCAAATTTGAAGTCCGACGGGCTCGCAGAAATTTGGGCACAGCGTTTCACAGAGATTGTTGTAGAATCCGCTGAAGACAATCAGGTTCGGACAGTTGACTTGTTCACCTTCACGAAAGCCCTGGATGCAAGGTTAGCTTCCGCAGGTGTGGATTCAGACAGGATCACTGATGAGCAGTTCTTGAAACTGCTTGAAGTGAGCGCGGTCAAGGAACCTTCTCCAGATGCACTTCGGGAGTTGAAAGACCGAATTGGGTTTGAAGGCAACTCAGTTTCTCGCGACAAACTCTCCAGCTTCCTTTGTGGATTGAGCGGTTCTTTCTCCAGCGATGCCCTCAGCGCCACCGCCAACGTCCAGAAGGACATGGCAATTTCAGAGGCTTCTGCGAGCACTGCCCCAATCAGCGAGGAAAAGATGTCTGGAAAGCGCGCGCGCTTCTGCGCGCAGTTTCCCGTCCTGCTCCACCAAAACGTGATTCGATGGATGAGGCTTTGGAAACACAAAGCATTCAGTTTGGCTTTAATGTCCCTGGCCGCCATGGTCTTCGGTACTCAGTGCAAGGACAAGCTCACGCCTGAGAATGTTCTGTGCCCAATCAAGATCAACATCTCGCACGTTGCCATCGGGCTCCTTATGGGTGTTGCATGCCTGCCCATCTTTGGTTCTGATCGCATGGTTTTTTGGCGTGAAAGCGCAAGTGGAGTAAGGGTTAGCGCATTCTTCCTGTCCAGAGCAACCGTGTTCCTCTTCGACGTGCTGGTTTGGACCTACGTGTTCACTGCAGTGTGGAAGGTGAGCTCTCAGGCTCCATGTGGGTACTGGCTATGGCTGGTGGCTCTTCGGATGACTGCAGTCAGCGCCGCAGGGATTGGCGTGTTGATCTCGACCCTGATTCCCAAATCGAGTTCGACTTTGGCAACAGCTGTGGTTCTGCTCATCATGGGGGGTGCCATTAGTGAACCTCAGGTGGTGGCAGAGGCAAAAGGCAGCTTTAATGAAGTGCTGGCATTTCTCTCCCCATTCACTTGGACATCCGGTGAGAACTACTTGGCAGTCATCGCAGAGATGGGTGGCGAGGACTATGTGAACATTTTCGCACTCGACATGATGGATGGCTACCGCAATGTGCTGTTGTCCATAAACTTGGGCGGGCAGAATTTGGATTATCTCACATCGGCATACATCTCATGCAGCGTTTTCGGCTTTCTCGGGTTGACTTTTGGCTATCTTGGGCTGCGATTTTCGCACCGTGGAAAGCAAGCCTAAGACAGGTGCCGTCTTTTGACAAATAATTCGCGCGTGACCCAAAGACAGCAACGCCTTGTCTTGTGCATTTTTGCCTCCTTGAGGAGGCTCACCTGCCACCTGAACCGTTCGTGTCTTGACGATCTGTGAGCTCATGAACAGACTTGCCGTCACAATCCGTGCATTTCTAACGTGTAGGACTTCCGGCACACATTGTCTACTTAGTATCCTCAGAGTCCTCACACCCTCATGGGCTCAAAGATGGTGCAGTGTGCAGTGATCTCAGCCAGAGCTGTGAACACAACATTTTCTGGAAAGGAGCTGCGAACCGCAAATTCGGTGGTCCTTGAACTGTGAGACTTGAGTAGGTGCATGACGTCCTAGTCCGAACTGGACTTGAGGAATGCGAAGGGTCAACAGATCCGACTTAGGAACATGGTGCGCAAAGCGGAAAAGTCACGGGGCCAGAGCTCACGTGCCTTTTTGAACGCCCTGCTGCTAGCAAGTGGGAGTGCTTTTGACTTCATTGGCCTGATTGATGGATTGTCCCAAGTTTCATAGAAAAACAGGGAATAGGGAGACGTAGCTGGAGGGAGCCATGGAAGTGGCGCAGGCGTGGGAGCTGTGCGTGCTCCTGCTTGTGGCTGTGGGATATGTCGCCCTCGGCGTCAACTCTTACCTCAACCGCCGCATGCGCAAGCAACAGTCAAGGCGCTCCCAGGTCCTTTCGGAGTGTGAACACTGCTCTGTGGAGCTGGTCCAGAGCATGGTGCCGGAGGTTTCAGTTCCAGAGTATCGATTTCGCGGGATGCACCTGAAGATGTCGTCCATACACATCGGCTTTGACAACGTCGGCGTGAAGTTGAAGTCGAATGGGAAGTGCATTCTCGAGGGTGTCTCTGGCGAGTTTCAGCCCAAGAGGGTGGCGGCCATCATGGGCCCATCCGGTGCCGGAAAAACAACCTTCATGAATGCTCTTTGCGGCCGGGCCTACTACGGGACTGCTGCTTGCTGCTTCAGTTGCTTAAGAAAACCTGTACGAGCAGGCTGCGAGGCAAGGCGTGTGCAGTAAGTGTCCAAACGACTGGCTCACGACGGCGATGGGGTGGGTTCGCCGCCGACAGCAATCGGTGAAAGAAGCAAGAACCATCTGAAAAACAATCTTCGGACCTCCATACTCAGCCACTGAGCCACTTAGCCGCTCAACGGTCAATTCAAATCTTGATCAGCCACAGCTGCATCAAAGCTGCACCTGCACGCAAACACCGCAACTCCCGGGCCCAGGCTGCAAGGCCAGACGCCAAGGTGGATAGCATGTTTCACGAAGCGGCGACTCCGCATGAAAAGGTTTCAACAGTCATGTGCCACAGGAAATCGCAACACAAGGCCGCTACTTTTGGAGCGGCAGGGCAGGTACAGCTGACATGCGAGTGACAAATCGGAATCGACGGTGCCTGCCTTGTTTGACAACCCATGCTCGCGTCATTTTCAGTATTCAGTGGTTCGTTTATGATTCATGCTGAGCGGTGTCCGCATCAGAGCACGCAGGACAGTGACGGGGGAGATTCGCTTGAACGGTCGGACGGCCAGCATTGCCGAGTTCAAACCTCTCAGAGGATTCGTTCCTCAGGATGACATAGTGCATGCTCATCTCACTGTTCGCTGCTCTCCTGAAATGATGGTGCAAATGCACAGCAGGGAGTTCTGTTCTGTGGCATTGTGTATTTGTTTTCGCGTGTTGTACTTTTTTGAGGAAGTAGAGGTTTTACTAAAACATGGAGGAAATAAAGGTTTTCCCAATCGATGCGAGGCAAAGAGTTTCAGAACGACGGAAAGAAACCGGGAACAACAGAAAGAATAAACAAAGAAATGCAGAAATGCGTAAACAAACAAACAAATATTAGAAGTCCGGCAAGCTTGCTTGATAAGAAGATCATGCCATACAGAGGACTTGCGCTACGAATACATGCGAATCCTTTTCAAACCCGTCACGCGATCATGTTGCCAATGAATTTTAATGACAAAACTTGAATGTCCTCTTAAACCTTCATTTCCTTTATACTTTAATAGAACAACCTGCGTTTCCTCTTTGTTCCCAAGAAACCTCTTCTTCCAGGAAAACATCTGTTCTTCTGGATTTGAGAGGAAACCCGAGATTAAAAGAAGGAAAAGTATAAAGCGTAAAGCAAAAAGGTCCAAAAAACATATATATATATATATATATATATATATATATATATGCATATATATATATATATATGTGTGTGTGTGTGTATGTTTCTTCGTCATTGTTCGTCTGTCCACCCAGCAGAATTAAGCACAGCTCTTGTATGTTCCAGTTGGACGCGTACGCATGGCGGGACCTGCAACTACTGTCCTTACTTGCGGGTGTTGCCAGAACGCACAAGGTGAACAGATCTTCTACTCTGCAAAGCTGAGAAATCCAGAAGGAACAGCGCATGAAGTGTTGGAGAACATTGTCGAGGATGTCTTGAATGTGATGCAGCTGCTGGACGTGCAGCACAGCTTGGTCGGGAATGTGGAGACTCGCGGCATCAGCGGTGGCCAGCGGAAGCGAGTAAACATTGGAGCCTCAGCCAGCAGTATGGCATGTAATCAGTGCCTCACTGATAGGGACATCCGCCCCCTTGCACCACAGTTCGCATGTCCAGCACGATTGCCATATTCTGCAATCCGCCGCCTCAGGACTCGAGCTAGCAGCGCGGCCGACAATTCTGATGCTGGATGAGCCCACATCTGGGCTAGATGCCACGACAGCTCTTGATATCATAAGGTCCCTGCAGAAGTTGACTGAGATCGGCATGACTGTGGTCATGGTCGTGCACCAGCCACGATATTCACTTTTCACATTGTTCCATGAGGTGCTGCTGCTCGGCCTGGGCGGGCAGACTGTGTACCTTGGCCCGAGCACCGGTGCTCTTCCCTACTTCAAAAGTCTCGGCTTCAGAATGCCTGAGCATGAAAACCCAGCGGACTGGTTCATGGATGTACTTTCTGGGAAGGTCCGGAACGAAGAGACACCTTCACTCAAACAAACAGAGCTAGCCAGTCATTGGAAAACACAGACCAAGCCTGCTCCGGAGCGTTCTGAGGGACGTCGCCATGCAACAAATCCAGAGGACAAGTTCAAGTTCCACAATGCAGTGGACGTAAAACTGGAATTGCTTGGCATGGGGGGGATCACTGAAATCACTGGGGCGCACTTCTCGCAAATACTCCAGTCAAGTGGAATCGTGCCTTCGGAGCCAGCGCTTGTTGAGATGAAGAAAAGGATCGGCTTTGAAGATGACTCAACCACCCGCCGTGGGCTGGCACGTTTCCTGTTGGGGTTGAGAAGTTCGTTTTCCCATGATGCAATGTGTGACCTCCCGGACTGGGAAAAGGACATGGAGCAATCTGAAGGATCCATAATTTCAGGAGCCAGCTCATGCGCAACAGTGGACAAGAAGATGGTGGGAAAGAGGGCGCACTTCTGGCCACAGTATCGAGTCTTGGTCCACCAAAACGCCATTCGCTGGGTCCGCTTGTGGAAGCAGAAGACGCTGAGCACATTGCTTGTAATAGCTGCTGCTATCATGTTCGGGGCGCAGTGTACCGACAAACTTGTGCCGGGAAATATACTGTGCCCATTGAAGATCAACCTTTCTCACTTGGCGGTGGGGCTGATGGTTGGCATAGCTTGCCTGCAAATCTTTGGTGCTGATCGGCCGACCTTTTGGCGTGAAAGCGCCAGTGGGGTGAGGGTGATTGCCTTCTTCCTAGCACGAGTCAGCATCTCATTGTTTGATGTGCTGCTGTGGACCTATATCTACACAGGAGTTTGGATGGCTTGTGCCTCAGCTCCGTGTCCATATTGGATGTGGCTGATTGCTTTTCGCATGACCGCAGTTAGTTCTGCCGGCATCGGCGTGCTTCTTTCAGCCGTGGTCCCCGAGCATAGCTCAACTCTAGCAACCGCAGTTACGATTCTGATCATGGGCGGTGGCATCAGTGAGCCACAGACAATCTCAGAAGCAAAAGGTTTGCAGGAAGTCTTGGGGTTCCTGTCGCCTTTCACTTGGGCGATTGGTGAGAACTACTTGGCCGTCATTGACCTGCAGGGTGGTGAAGCAGCGGTCATCGACTTCGCTGTTGACATCGTAGAGGGCTACAAGAACATAATCCTTTCATTGGGGGGTGAATACCTTGGATATGTTACTGCAGCTTACATTTCCTGTGGCGTCTTCGGCCTCTTGGCTTTGGTCTCCGGCTACTTGGCATTGCGATTTTCTTATCGCGGGAAACAGGCGTGAGCTGCACTTTTAGTTCCCGTCCCGCAAGGTGTAGAGGCCTTATGCTGAAACGGCAGCAGGCATGTTGTGTCAAGCCAGGTGCATTCAACACATGTTCCGCTGCGCCTAAGGGCCAAAAGGGGCCTTAAGGGCTCAGGGGGAGGTAGCTCCGAAGCACAATGTCACAATGCGCATGGCTTGACCTTTTTTTGGCTACTGTGGAGAGCTCAAGGTTTGACATGACATGAGCTTGTCCTTCTAATTCTGTGCATGGCAGCGATCTTGACCCCAGTCGCGTTGAGAATGACTAGTAGACTAGCCGTGGCCAGTCTTTTTGGTGACGTGAATCTTTGAGCAGTTTAAGACTTAAGGCCTAAGAAGGCTTAGGGCAGAAGACTTTTGGACTGGGGTTGAAGGAACCTGCATGATAAAGACGAATTCGCACCACATAGCGCGCGCGTCTGCCTTAATATGCTTTGTGAGCTGCATGATCTTACAGTCCTAACGGGACCAGTAAGAGGAACTCGCCTTTGCTTTGTCAAGCATCCTGCGCCCCTCAGGACTGAGCGGATACAAAAAACAATTGCATCGTGCGACAAGGTGCTCCGTGAAACATCATGCTAGCAGATACATGGCGCAAGTTTCCGCCTCGATGCTTGGACCAGACGCATGCGCATCTGCCCCAGCCATTTCTAGGCCAATGCGAGCACAAGGACCCTGGTAGCGATGGATGCCAGCCCTAGCCTCCAACTCATTGGAGCATGGTCGCGTGCTGCAAGCGATGCAGCTCCATTGGCTTCCCCACTCGCCCGGCAACCGAGACTCCAAGATCATCTGAGGCGCGAGATCACGCCGCAGCGGACCGCGGCAGCTTGAACTGGACAGCCTCACTACTGATTGCACTCATAAAGTACTGAGCCCCGCTGGTAGTAGTGTGACCGTGAAACTCCGCATTGCAGCCCTTTTTCCCCTTCTTCCGGGTCCCTAAGTCGTTTGGCAAGGTGCTGCTGGGCTTGATCTTGCTCAGCATAGCCACAGAGCACTTCTGCCCGCCAGAGTTTGGCATCCAAAAGGCTGACCGGTGGAAGCCGTATGCCGTGGTGGACAGCATTTGTATGGGCATACTGCTTATTGCGGACGGCTTGCCTCCGGAAGCAGTGCTCCTAGCTTTGACCGTGATCTATGTTCTGGCGGGAATCATCACCGAGCATGAAGCTTTTTCAGGTTTCTCCAGCCCTGGTGTCCTTGCATTCGGCGCCCTTTTTGTTCTCTCGGAGGCCTTTGCAGAAGTGACTCTGACTTTATAGCACGAAGTGTTTCTCACATATTCTCACTAAATGTTGGATTTGTGCTTGTTTGCTTATCTGCGATATGGACTTCTTGTTTGCATCGCTGGGAGAAGAGGTGAAAGTACTGGACGCGCTAATCTCTCGGTGCTTGGGCAGCCCGAAAACGCTCCTCACTGCACAGTTCCGAATAACTGTGCCTGTTGCGGTGTTGTCGGCCTTCTTCAACAACGGCCCTCTCGTGGCCATGCTAGTGCCGATAGTACAAGCTTGGTCACAACGCCATGGACACTCAGCAGCCCAACTGCTCATGCCTCTTGCGTTTGCATCGACCTTGGGCGGAACTCTTACGATCATTGGCTCTGCCGCGAATCTGCTCGCGCATGATCGGGCTCGGGCCCTGGATCCCCCTGTGGACATCGGCTTTTTTGATTTGACACCCTATGCAGCTCCTTTGGGCTTGCTGGGCTTGTGCTACATGCTGGTTGCTGGCCCAAGGCTGTTGCCAAAAAGCACAGAGGTCGGACGGGATGGACAGGTCACCAGGTCGCCTTCAAAGTCCCAGAGACCCGGCGCATTCCCCCAGTTCACAGCTTTCACAGCCGACGACATGCCTTCAGAAGCTGAGCTCGTTGAGCCGGATCAATTACGCAGGTACCACATCCTGTTCGTGGTTCGTAGCCGCTGTCCATCTATTGGTTGCAGTCTCTTTGACATGGGAATGACTCGCTTGCCGGACGTATTGGTGCTGGAGCTGCGCCGCGAAGGCCAGCCGCTTCAAGACACTTTTGGCACAGCACTGGCAGCTGGAGATTTCATCAAAGTGGCCGCTGGCGCGGCAAGCATTGCAAGGCTTCGGAAGGCATATGATGGCCTGGAGCCTGCAGTTCACAAGGACCTGGCTACGTTGGGTCCGCACAGGAGGCACCGGCGATTGTTCGAAGCAGTTGTTGCTTCGAATTCTGCACTTGTCACGGAGCCACTGGCCAAACAAAAGGAGCGACTCCTTCGCAAGGCTGGCTCCGTTATCCTTGCCATACGCCACTCATCAAGTGAAGCTGCAGCTGCAGATCTGGAAGCTCGCAGCCCATTAAAGCTGGTGCCAGGAGACGTTCTCTTGCTGGAGGCCTTCCCTGACTGCTTGGACCGGCTTGCGGATTTTTCCGTGGTGGCAGCTGTCGAGTCCTCGAAACCACCACGAAGGGGTCGGCAGCAGGACAGGCTTCGGGGCCTTCTCTGCTTGTTCGGCTTCGTGTTGGCCATTGGCTTGAACGGCTTAGGTTTCCTGCCATTGGCAGCTGCCGTGTTAGCTCTGGACTTTTTCTGCTGCTGCGCCAGGGTGCTAAGCTGGCGAGAGGCCATGCGCGGCGTCAACGGCAGTGTGATGATGACCATTGCCGCCTCCTTCGGAATTTCTGCCGCCATGACGAAGACAGGAGCAGCAGCGGCTTTGGCAAATGCGCTGCTGAATGTGGGACTGCGATCGGGCCCATTTGGAGTACTTTGCATGGTGTATTGTGGCACGGCACTTTTGACCAACATCATCAGCAACACTGCCACATGCGTCATGATGATTCCAGTGGCTGTGCATGTCGCAAAACAGCTGCGCCAGTCTGACGGATGTGAGAACATAGATGAGAAGACTCTTCTCTTCCTCGTGATATTTGCCGCAAACGCTTCCTTTGCCACCCCTCTGGGCTCCCCGTCGAATATCTTGGTTGTGGACGCTGGCAACTACACCTTCGGAGACTTTGTGCGATTTGGAGGCATGCTGCAGATCATCATGATGTGGGCAACATGCTCCGCGCTGTACTACTTTCCGTGCTCCTAGTCCTAGCCCCGTTTGAAGCTCGGGCGTGGTTTTTGGATTTCCTTCATGTCATTGTACATATTATAGAGCAGCAGTACTCGCCATCGCCGGCTCCCAGAGCATTCCAGCTGGCACATGTTCGGACCGACCGGTCCAGAAGAATTCATAGCCGATACCCGGATTCTGGCGCGAAACGAAATGTAGGCAACATCGCATTCGATCTCTTGTACGTGCCTCCTTGGCCATGTGGAAACACACAGGCACATGCATTGCAGACTGCCGCCGCCGTGTAGGCTTGGATGTGGAGCTACTAGCAGCTAGGATGGCTGCGTCCAGGTTTAATTCACGCATTTAATTCGTCAGTGAAACAATTCAATCTGGTGGGTGGCCAGCTGCTGCTGCGGCCGGTCTGTCATGGAAGATGACGGTGAACTCAGGTGTTCATCAACCTCGAGTCAGGCAAACTGGTCTCGCAATTTCGACATCAAGCATCGTCAGAAGAAGCCCCAGCATCTTGGCTTAATGTTACACTTACAAAACAGCTGTTTTGTAGTTTGTTTCGATAGTTAGGCCTGGTACTTGGCAGCGGTTATTCTTTGAGCACAGCTTAGCCCAGGAGGAAAGGGACCATGGGTCAACTACGGCAGCGTTTGCAGTCCACGGCTTCCGGTCCGCCTAAGCGGTTGAGGACGAAAACACCAGATCCCAATTGGCTGCTGGTTCACAGCAGAATAGAGTTTGTAGATGCAGCCATGTTGCCAGCTGCACATTCCGACATGCATCCAGACGGCTTCAGAGAGCATCATCGGCGTGAATGGGCGCTACGGCATTCCTCGCCAAAGTTGCCCCTCGCTTCCTCTGGAAGGCCTCTCTGTGCCAACCATCATGTCTAGTATTCTCGAAGTAGCGATGCTTTCAGGGCTTTTGTAGCGCTTGTAGTCCATGACAATCCTGACAATCCCTGCTTCCATGCCTTAGTGTGACCGCCAGGCCTTCACCTTCGACGCCTTCGCCCAAGCTTCACAAGCTCGAGTCAGTTCCAACGTTTCCGACCGATGTAGTCTGGAAGCGATGCCGTCGCAAGACTGCGATGTCGGAACTGCACGGCAAAGCCCCGCCAAGTCCAGGTACTTGGCTTGGCAAGCGCCGGAAGACTCTATTGCCACAGCTGCCAACACGAGAGGCCCTCAGCGGAGGAATACAGCTGCTGCATGCGCAAAGACAGGAGCAATGCCTGTCCGAGTCGGAAAGCACAGACGTGAACAACCCACCATGTACACCGAAGGTGCGCGCCCGGCCTGTCACGAATAGAAATTCAGTGATCAAGGACCTCACCCCTGCTTCCAAGCTGGTCCGCCTCTCCATTGCTGCAGCAGAGCTCGATGTTTCAGCGCGAGAGCCGCGCTTGGTCGACTTCGCAACAGGAATGCTGCATGTGCTGCCACGCAATGGAGTCGTAGCTCTCGGTCGGTGCATTGGCTGCGAAATTCCAGTGCGCAGTCCTGCAGTGGACATTCGACACTGTGTGCTCGTATGCTCTTCTGGGAGAGTGACGGTTGAAGATGTCAGTGACACTGGCACGTCTGTAAATGATGCACAACTTCCCAAAGGCAACTTCTTGCCACAACCGCAGATGCTGCAACGTGGGGATGTTCTTGCTCTTGCACCCCCAGAAGGGCCCAGTTTCCTTTTTCTGGATGCTGCATGCAGGTAGCCTTCACCCACAGCTTATCAGCTGCAAGAGCATTAGTAGATCTGCAATTCCGTGGCGCAAAAGGATCCAGTCAAGATGCGGTGTGCGCACTTCAGGTTTGCATCTGGTTTTGTTGATGGAGCACGCAGCCGGACGAAGACTGACAAGAATCATGCTTCCTGTCGATGAAGCCTGTGATTGCTCGAGCCATGGGGACATACCTTGCAGCTGAGCCGCGTACCACTCATGCCAGGACTCGGCCCGGCCACAGAGTGAGGTAAACAGTATAAACAGTATATGCACATTGCCACGCAGTATGGCAACGCACACGAGCAGGGCCGCCAAAGAATCATCCACCTTTTTGTCATGCACGTTGAAGGAAGAGGCATCGAGCGTGCTTGTGGTGACTTCCTGGTCCCTTCTCCCACTGATCAAGCAGACAGGCATGGTCGATCGCCACAGATCCCTTAGTTTCATTATTCAGGTTTTTCTGAGTCGCCATTTGTGTGCTGGAGGTTCTCTGGTCCTACACGGAAGTTTTCGGACTTACCACGTCAGTCGGAGGAGAAGGCCGAGTTTCGGGGTCGGAGGCATGGCGTTGATATTGTGTTGTTTTGTATCGTATGAGCACGGCTCTCTCCGTCAGAGCCGCTCGTCGTTCATAGATGGCGCTATGTGGCTGTTACACGCTGGCACATTACCCCACAGAATCCACATAAATCAGCGAGGGTGACATGAGCTACTGAGGTGCATGTTCCCGCCACAAGCTTTCACCAGCTGCTTTGCTGCATTCTTCATTTTGCTTGTCCGAAGTGCGGGTTCCTGGCGGCTCAGAGGTACGGCAAGTGGTACCCGCCAGAGATGAAGGATTCCACCAGGAACTTTGGATACGAACCGCGGCTGCATGGCGTAGCATGATTGATGCCGCCAAGATACTGTAGCACATGAGGGCGTGGCTTGTAGAGAGTCGCATCAGCAAGTCGTACCATGCTTCATTCCTTGCTGTCCTTGTCCAAGGACGTCCTGAAGCGGGAGCAGGCGCCGCCTTGCCGCTGTTGCCGCTGCATGGCTGGTTCACCTTGCTGTGTGCTACTGTTCTGCTTGTACCACCACCACCACCACAACCACAACAACAACTACAACTACTACTCCTCCTCCTCCTCTATTACTCTACTACTCTACTACTCCTACTTCTACTCCTACTCCTACTCCCACACTTACTCCTACTCCTACTACGGCGACGACTACTACTACCAATACCACTTCTACCACTACGACCACTAAGACCACTACTACCACCACCACTACCACCACTACCACCACTACCACCACTACCACCACTACCACCACTACCACCACTACCACCACTACCACCACTACCACCACTACCACCACTACCACCACTACCACCACTACCACCACTACCACCACTACCACCACTACCACCACGACCACCACTACCACCACGACCACCACGACCACCACGACCACCGCTACCACCACCCCCACCACTACCACCACTACCACCACTACCACCACTACCACCACTACCACCACTACCACCACTACCACCACTACCACCACTACCACCACCACCACCACTACCACCACTACCACCACTACCACCACTACCACCACTACCACCACTACCACCACTACCACCACTACCACCACTACCACCACTACCACCACTACTACCACTACTACCACTACCAGCACCACCACCACCACCACTACCACCACTGCCACCACTGCCACCACTGCCACCACTGCCACCACCACCACCACGACTACTACTACTACTACTACTACTACTACTACTACTACTACTACTACTACTACTACTACTACTACTACTACTACTACTACTTACTACTACTACTACTAACTACTACTACTACTACTACTAACTACTACTACTACTACTACTACTACTACTACTACTACTACTACTACTACTACTACTACTACTACTACTACTACTACTACTACTACTACTACTACTACTACTACTACTACTACTACTACTACTACTACTACCTACTACTACTACTACTACTACTACTACTACTACTACTACTACTACTACTATTACTACTACTACTACCACTACTACTACTACAACTACTACTACTACTACTACTACTACTACTACTACTACTACTACTACTACTACTACTACTACTACTACTACTACTACTACTACTACTACTACTACTACTACTACTACTACTACTACTACTACTACTACTACTCTACTACTCTACTACTCTACTACTCTACTACTCTACTACTCTACTACTCTACTACTCTACTACTCTACTACTCTACTACTCTACTACTCTAGTACTCTAGTACTCTACTACTCCTACTACTACTACTACTACTACTACTACTTCTACTACTACTACTACTACTACTACTACTACTACTACTACTACTACTACTACTACTACTACTATACTACTACTACTACTACTACTACTACTACTACTACTACTACTACTACTACTACTACTACTACTACTACTACTACTACTACTACTACTACTACTACTACTACTACTACTACTACTACTACTACTACTACTACTACTGCTACTGCTACTGCTACTGCTACTAGGTACTAGTGCAGATGGTTGAAATGGAGACATGCAGATTGTGAGGCCAGCACAGTGAATTCATGCTTTTTGCATTCTCACATGAGTTCAGAAGACATAACTGGGGGCGCGCTCAACTACTCATTTTCGTGTATGTGATCGCTCTTGATGCTCAGTGTAAATATGGTGCAGACTTTGCACAACGGGCTTCATTCGACGACCATTTATTACTTCATCAGTTCGTCGCACGTCATGTACAGCATCCTCGCGCGCTTTCTAGCACCCTAGAAAACGGTTCTGCCCGTAGTACTACTTTGAAGTTTGCTGAAATTTGCTAACATTGCAGGTGCCTTTGTGTGAGGACCTCCGACCTGGTGTATTGTACGAGGGCGTGCCTGGTCTGAAGCAGTTGCGGGAGAAATTGTTTGCTTCACCTTGATTGCCGTTCAGGAGAAGTGCTTCTCGAAGTGTGGTCTACCTGGAGAAGAGGAAATTGAGAATCGGGCTTGCAATTTTTGCACCTCTTAAGTCTTACATCCTGGCGCTCCAAGATGCAGGATTGCATGCCCAGGGTCATGACGCTCCCGGAGGATGGTGAGTTCGAAGCATGCCTGACAATCAGAAAGCTATCTATTTCCCATAGTCGTGGCAGCATGCGACCATTGTGCCATGCCCCACATCCGGCAACCTATTTCAAGTAAGGAGATGGTCAAGCATCCCGTTTGCCAATCCCATGTCGAGTGCGTAGCTGCCTCAGGGCCGGATGTCTGTGGGTGCTCTAGTAAGATTTTGCGCAAGATTCCGCACGCGCTGGAAAGCTGGAGTCATGAGCAGACTGCACATGGAGTCTGGATGGTTGGTGTCGATCCTTGCATTCGGCCTGAGGTTGGAAAGCCATCTCGGGTTCTTTGCGAGGCTCGCTCACGAACCGTTCGTGACCCAACTGGCCTGGAACAGCGTGGGCCCTTTGAGCAGCAAGGTTGTCAAGAAAGGAAGCTGGCAAGAGGGACTGATGACGCGAATGCGCAGCATTGGAGGCCAGGGTTTGCTGTAGACGTCAGCCACACCGCAACTGAGATTAACTTGCAGGTGCCGAGCTGGCACTATCCGTGTTTGCCCCACGTTGCCTCCATCCGGCATCTGGCCGCCAAGCTGCAAGCAAGAGAAGCAAGTGCCAGAGATAATCAGGATGATTTGCTGCAGCACATGCCCTCGGCAAGCTGGTAACGATCTGCAGACTACGAGGTCAGCGCGACCAAGGTGCGGAGCACGTCGGCCATGCGTTTCTGTGAGCCGGCGGCAGCCGTAAGTAAGACACTCGGATGTTGCTGCCCCTACCACCTGCTTAGTGACACATGTCTCTGGCATCAACTGGATGCTGCGATGCTGCGACAATTGTGGCGGACGAAAGGTGCTTCACAAGCAACGCATTCATGCTCTATCGGCCTGAAGACATTCCCGACACAAGATAGCAGGTGCGAGATTGCAAAATGCTAATTTGTAGAAAGCGACGTGAATAGTCTTTGAACCAGCTCCCTCCGACTCTTGTGGTCCGACAGCATACATACGATTTCATGCTTTTTAAAAGGGCTTGAGGTGTCAGACGCTAGATGAGCCACTCTAATCTGTACTACCAAAATTTGTCAACCTTATCTGCATCAGTGTTTTGTCTGACCATTTTGCTTACATGGCGCGGGCCGCACGGCGGCCCATAAGACACTGGGAGCTGCAACGAACTGCCTGGAAGCAGATTGGACGCAAGGCTCACTCAGAGCCCAACATGGCCAGAGGGCACACAAGATGCAGACAGCCGGACGTGCTGCAAACAGCCTCGGCGAGTTTCTGGAAGCGTTGCGGAAGACGCCCGCAGGCACAGTGTCTCTGCGCACAACAAAGCCCAATTCTGTAGGGCCAGCAAGTTCGGGTTTGACGTTTTTGTTTGTGATCTTTCTTGTGGGGTCATCCTTGAAAGAGTTCTTCCATACAGAAAACACTCGCCTGCTCACGTGCGGATGTGGCTTTCCGCCCGCAACAGGTCTACATAGGTCTACCCCAACTAGGGCCAGACCAGGGAATGGGTGTGTCTAGCTGTTGCGCAACATTCGCACGCTGGCTCTTGTCAAAACGGTCCAAGGCCCTAAGGCTGTTGAGCTCTCAGTTTCGGGCTTTTGTCCAATCTCCAGGGTGTCAAGCCTTGAAATGACTGGAAATCTGGTGGCATCCGATCCTTGATTACCCTGGAGCAACAGCCTTAGGCCCGTTCTTGATCCACGCAATAGTTCTGAAAGGAGTTGCGAACAGCAGGAGTCAGACATGTGTGGATTCCACGGAGGGGGTTCTGCTAAGCGGCAAGGTTTGTTGCTCCGAAACAAGTAGTGGGGTTCTGTTGAGTGGGGTGGTGTCTCCGACGATCCTAGCTCACTCGGTTCATTGTGCCGGCTTCATGTCAACACATTCCCCGACCAGGTGCGCTTCGATCAGCTCTGCATGAGAGGCGTGATGACCTGGACATTGGATTGTACAGACATGTGCAGAGTGCCAAGGAGATGGGAATGGTCATGGCCGCTCTCAGCAAGAAGAGGCTGTGGCAGATAGCGCTGGAGCTCATTCCGCAGTTTCGGATTCGTAGTGTTGAGGCCGATGTGATTGCATACAACATTGGGATCTCCTCTTGTGAACGCTCGAAAGCATGGAGCAAAGCGATCGAATTACTGGACACCATGCCTCAGGAAGGCCTGGTGCCCGATGAAGTCACGCTCAACTCTGTTATGAGCGCATGCAGCAGGTCGTGGGCCTGCGCAGTGGAAGTTTTCCGAGAAAGCATTTTGAAATCCACGGCAGCTAGCACATATAGCTTCAACTCGTGCATCGGTGCCTGCGAACGCGGTGGGCAATGGAAGCTGGCAAGCAGCCTTTTTGACTGCATGAGCACTGGCAATGTGGAGGCAGACGTCTACACCATAACTTTAACCATGAACGCATGTCGCGCCAAACCTGAGTCATGGTTAACAGCCTTGGGCTTGCTGGAGGAGATGCCGCCGCGGAAGCTCTGTCCAAATGAAGTCACATACAGCTCGGTCATGCAAGCGTGCTTCTCGAGCCGCCAGTGGAAAGAAGTCCTGCATTGCTTCAACACAATGCACTCAGAGTCTGTAGCCCCGGGTGCCATCACTTACAACATTGCTATCCGTGCATGCGCTGGTGGTGCCTGCTGGCAGCCGGAAGCCCAGTATGATGAGGTGATCTGTTTATGCAATTCAGGGATCTCAGCATAAAGGCTTCAAAAACTACAAAGTTGCCTTCGAGATGTATGAGAAAAGGGGGCAAGCCAGGGAAAGCTCGTCACCCCGCCAAGTAGCAGCGAATCAGGCTCGCCTTGCAGCTCTTCGGCGATCTCCAGTCGCTGAGGCCGCTTGTGATAAATTTGAGTAGATAGGGGTTTCCGAAATTACAGGTACCCTATTATAAGGGATCCTGCTATTTGGGGGACTATCTTGGGGGTCCCTTATTTTCGTAAACCCCCAGATGTTTCCAGAAGTGGTTCTCGCAATTTTTACGCGTGCGGCAAGGAGACCCGAAGCCGACAGCTACGCCGCTCTGCTTGCGTCTTTCGAAGCATCGTCGCTCTGGGCGAGTGCCTCAGACATTGTCAGGGACCCCATGTCAGAGTCGTATGGGCCGATGAGGTAAACGGTGCCATGTGGCTGCATGATGCCGCCGAGATGCCCTGAAACCTGCTCGCCTTCGCCATTCGGGTTCGTTTGTTCTCAACTCAAGGGACCGAAACATGTTCCGCAAGAGCGCTAAGGGCGATATTCTGCGATTAAACAAGGTCAAAGCTTCTACCAACCCCCCACCCACCCACCCTCATTAGATCCCAGTCCCCAACGTTCGGAGTATCCGATGGTGGGAAAGCGCTGCCATGTGCAAGTGGACAGCAAGCGACGTGGCTGAGCTCCAGCGCAGCTCCGAAGCAAACTTACCACAGTTCCAGCCGAGAAGAAGTGATCTGGACACTGGAGACCATTAGATGGAGCCGAGGACGCTGATGCACCAGCCATGGCCTGATGAGCTCCACTTCCATTGCTCCAGGCTGACCGGGTGCAAGAGATGCAGCAGCAGACGAGAGGCCGCAAGAGCAAGACTCGGAACCTCTCCACGCAAAGCTTTGGACTCTCGCCTGGCATCCATGTCACCTGGTCCTTTTCGACGACCACTGCCTCGACCTTGCTCACCGCCGCCACCGCCACCACCACCCTACGCTCCATGTGCATGTGCGACGACAACTGAGACAGATGAGCGTCCCGAGACATCCGAGATCGTTGAGCAGCTTCTAGACGAATTTACAGAGCGCATACAAAGCTTCTTCTTGGCACTGATGGGCTTCAACCACCCTCATATGGAGAGGTTGCAAGCTGCCCTGGATCAGCAAGTGAAAGCTTTGGGTCGCGGTCTGATGAGGGCCATGGCTGTAAAGGATGCGTTCTGGGGTCTCAAAAGTGCAGTCGCCGAAAGTCAGCTGTGGAAGAGGCTGAAGCAATGCCGCCAACGCTTGTTTGATTGAAGCTTGGCTGCGACTGGAGGGGGGTTATGGTTCAAGTGCATAGATTGGTCGGTATTGCCACACCTTCCAACTTCTTGAATTCAGCTGGATGAGGTCAGAAGCAGGTGCAGCAGTATGCTGCCACGGCCGCTGAGGACGACCCAGCCATTCTCGACACAGTAGAGCGGTCACATCAATTAAACTGCTGCGGCTTGGAGTGTGGACCTTGTCTTGTGCAGGAGGCATCGATGCGGCAGGAGACATTAGAGGCATCAGCGCTGGTGCGCCAACAAGCAGAGCGGGCACGAGCCATGGCCACCAAGCAGCTTTGTCGAGGTCCAGAGGCCCGGGCTGCGTGGGTCGGCGCAACAGCTTTGCTGTAGTTACTAACTAGAGAGTCCCTCTGTGATCGCCAGGCTCCCATGGGAGCACCACAGATGCAATGTATTTCATACTTCGCATGAACTCAGCACATGTGAGAAAAGGCTTGGCGCTCGGAGCAGATCACCTGCCCAAGGTCTGCTTCTATCACTGGGGCAAACTCACCAAGACCAGATTGTCAAGAGGCCTCATGGTCCAGCAAGTGCATGGCCGGAATCTTCACGCAGTAAGGGTGCCTCGGCATGTGGCTGAACTACTTTTGCAGCAAACGTGTGGCATTGAAAGATATTGAAAGCCAGCATTCCGAGGCATGCTTGATGCAGTCCACATTCCTGCGCTGGCGACAAGCATCGAGCGACGCCGTACGTGAACGTGCTTTCGGGGCACAACACAATGCAGCTGCTGTGGCTGTAGCTGCTCAAGCACAGCGGTCCAAAGCTGCGCTGCACTCCGCACCCTGCCGGCTCCAGATTCGGATGTTGGAGATACTGGTGTTCTTCTCTTGCTTGGCAAATGCCTGAATGAAGTAAATCCCCTGAGTCTGGTTCCAGGTCGTCAATGCTGCGGCCAAGCAAAACTTGCCTACCATTTGGAAGAGCCTTGGTGCTTGGCAGCTTCTGACGCTCAGGCCAAGCGACATGGGATTGCAGGTTTGCAGGGGAGGCATTGCCCGGTGTAGGAGGCTCAATGCTGGAGATGCAAAGCAATCAAGCACCATTGAAGAACAAACATCGTTTCAGCTCATTAAGTGCCCGTGGTCCAGGATGTCCAAGGTTCACGAAACATGTTCTCGGGGAGAGGTCTCATCGTCGGATATGGAAAGAGCGAGCTGCAGCAGCCGTTTCTTGGCTTCGTCATTGCAGCAGGGTTGCCACGGTGCCACACTCTGACAGTGGGTGAGCTCTACTTGCTCTACTTGAGCCCACGTCTTGTAGGAAGAGTACCCCTGTCAAATGACGTCAAGCATTCCGAGGGCTGGTCTGTTGCACTTCACGAGTAATAAATGTCGTCATACCACAGATGTGTGTGGCGATGTTGCTTTGAGAGCCACAAACTGAATTTCATTCCGTTCGACTGGAGGAGCTAGCTGTGCATCAAGAGGATGCGCTGCGGCAGCGACTGCTGCAAGCTCTCAACCGACTCGAGCTCAATTGCACATTGGCATCGTGGTGCACGCGTGGTTTCTCGATAAGCATCGACAAGTTCTACTGCAGGCAGATGCTGCGAAGGCAATCAGCATAACATCCTCAAGGCAGCATAATGCAGCATATCATGCATGTCACCCACGTATGCATATTTCATGTGGCGGCCGTTGCAGATTGCCGATCCGGGCCCGCAGGCCGCGTTGGCCCGATGGATGGCTGGAGCTGCCCTGTCCGCCGCTTTGCGACGCAGCCGAGAAGGAGCCCAGCTCCTTGCCTGAAGAGATCCGCAGAGCACAGCAGGGTAGCCATGAGACATCATGAGACTGAGCCTCAAGTACCGCGGGGGAGACCTAGTCCTACACGTGGCATAAGACATGGGTAGTAGACAGAACACCTGCGGGCGCGGTCCTCCATGATTTCTCGCCCTGTGATGACGCAAACATGGCCAGAGGGTTTTGGCAAAGCCATGCATAGGAAGGCTAGTTGGCGGGGAAAAAGTGAAGATGTGGGCGTTGGTCTGTGGAGGTTGTTTGCAAATCATCGCAGATGTTGCTGATGGCTTGTCGTATTCACCCAAGGAAGGCAGCGAATTGGAGTGTCAGTGTCCTGCGGCGCCGCTTGTCGAGAGTTTGGCCAGTCGCTCCGATTATTCAATGTGGCGCCAGCGCGTGGGGGATTTGGACTTCGATTCATCTCAGGACGTCAGACCAAATGCACTGCATGGAGGTGCTTAACTTCTTGGTCGGTTTACAGCAAGATACGGCAACTTCAAGAGTCTCTCACCAGACTATCAGTTTCTTGGTCCAGTTGGCCGGCTGCTCTGGGCGAGCAGTGCCCATTGTGATGTTACAATATGTTGCAATGTTGGTGCGACACACGGACGCTCAGGTACCTGCGGCTCAGACGCCACGGCGTCCAGCTAGTGCTTCCGACAGGTGCTATTTCAGCCATGTGGCCGGTTCAGAAGCAGCCGCAGATTGTCACCGGCTGTCGGGCCGATGGCTCGGCATGACCCAGTTGCAAAGGTTTGATCCGACTTGACCAGACATCCTAAGACTCCAACCACAGTTGTGTCAGTCATCTTCTCTTGACTACAGGCTCACCGCCTCGAAGCACAGAAGCGTTTCCTCGCATCATCCGGCAATGCGGCCAAGAGAGTGGCAGGCGTCGGATTTGGCAGGTAACTGGCAAGCAGCCACTGCTGCTGCTAGTTGGTCCCTGCTTCATCTTTCGAAATAACTATTTCGCGGCAGGCAAACATTAGCTGCAGCAGCGGCACTTCTTGGACAATCCAAAGGCCCCGATCCAATACTCACGTCTTGGGAGGCTCGGGCACTGTAGCAAGCTGCCGATGTGAATGGATTGGCAAACGGCTGCTTCCAATACATGCTACGCACCATGCCTGTTAGGTCAAGCAGCACTTGCATGCTGCTGCAGACGCAGTTTTTCAACAGCCACTGATCGGCAACAACTGCCGTCGCAGCAGTGGCAGGGGTCGCAGTGTGCGAATTCATGCAGATTCGGCAAAGGCTGGGCTCTGCTGGATCGTCAGCTACTCGTCAAGAGGCTTGGCAGGAAAATGTGGGCTACCCGAAAAAAACCTTTGGTTGCGAATTAAGCAGAATTGCACCCGACAGGGCTGCAGAGTCGTTCGAAGTTCGAAATTGTACGTACTCATGAGAGAGAGAGAGAGGGAGGGTTAAGTGCAAAGAAAGAAGGAAAGAAGGAAAGAAAGAAAGAAAGAAAGAAAGAGAGACCACAGCAACACACCAGCGCGGGACAGCTGTGAGTAGCCAAACCCCGGCCCATGCACAAGGGGCCCGGGAGGAGCGACGCACGGCAGACGTCATCTCACTAGCGAGGGGAGGACAGGAGAGCCACCACCACAGGCACCCGCACCAATCCAATCACCAGAGCCTCAATACCACCAGAACCCTGCCTTCCGTTCCTGCTCAAGACCCACAACCAGGGACCCTGGAAGGGACACGCAATCCGGAATGAAACCCAGAAAGACCCACGCCGACAGCCCGGATACCATCCTGTGGCACCCAGCACCACCAGCACACCACTCACCACAGCACTCACCACCCCTTGCGCATGAAGGGGAATCCACCGAAGAGTTCCCATCACCGGATGCTCCAGGGGAGCTCACGAAGCCCCAAACCGTCGTTGAGGACCACCAGAAGAAGACGGTCGCATGAGGGGCCAGCAGTGATTAAACCGTAGCCAGTACAGTGTACATCACAGAGGGGAGCACAGGTAGGGGGAAATCGAGCTTCAGGTATGGTGTACAACATGGGGTGATTGTCTTCGGTGTGGAGCTATCGACTTGGACCCGATTGAACCCTCGCCCCCTCCAACCACAGCCCAGTGAATACCACTCGGGCCCTTCGGGGCCGGAGGGGGCCATGCGTGCAGAGCGCGAGAGAAAGAGAGTCAGACGCGGGATCGGGGCGCGCCTTGGCGCAGGGCTTGCCCTATGCCCGAAAGAAAGAAAGAGAGGAAGAGAGAGCATCTTGATGGTTCGTCCTATCCTGTGCTACTCTTCCCGATCCTTGTCACTCAGTATTAGTAGTCGCCGTCAAGATGCCAAAACCCTGAGGCTAACGAGGAGTTGTGGAGTTTCAAGGGTCCTTTGTTTTCGCGGGGGCGGGGAGGTCTTCGGGAAGGTTGTGGTCGAGGAGGTTGGGGGAAGTTGTAAAGTTGAGTGTGAAGGGGGAAGAGGCTCTTGACGTGTCCAGTAGAGCCCCACATGGACAAAGCACTTGAGGGGTGACAACATGCTCGATGGGAAACTGACACACTAGGCATACTAACTTGTTTTTTGGTGCTAAGCACACAATTCACGCGAGCTTACAGGAGTGATGACCGGAGCAAGCACCGTGATCAGACTGCTTAGGGGCTTATAGGCTAGATGGGGAAGAGAAAGGTTTGGAAGCCCTGTGGTCTCACCAGCGAGGCAATGTGGTGTCACAGACAGGGATTCCCGTGTTGAGGTCTAGGGTTCATTTTTCGGGGGAATTCCACACAGTCGAGACACAATCCTCGCTGCACGAATCTCGCCGAGACTGGACTTGATCTGGGCGCGCCCAGCGCGCGGGGGGGCCCTCTGGGTTCCTCAAGCCCCGTAGAAGAAGAAGAAGAAGAAGAAGAAGAAGAAGAAGAAGAAGAAGAAGAAGAAGAAGAAGAAGAAGAAAGAGAGAGAGCGAGAACACGGGGAGTCTCACTAAAGGACAAGACAGCTCGCTGCCGTGGTCGGGGTCGCCCTATGGGGGGCCCTCTCAGCTGAGTAAAAGAAGAAGAGAGGGATAGAGAGGGCCTTGGAGGAGTCCCCCCCCTCCTCATGCTTCGCAGAAGAGAAGAGTACGAGAGCGGGGGCAAGATGAAAGAAACAACAAAAACAAGACAGCCAAGGCATCTCCAGAAGCGCTGAAGCATTGGTCATTGGCCAACGAAGCGTCCATGTCCGAAGAAGGCCAGCTGGACTGCAGGGAGGCTAATGCGGTCACAAGCCATATTCGGTGGTGCGGTTGATTTGCAAGGGCTTGGAACGTAGCTGAGTTGAAGCATGCCTGGCAGCTGAATATGCGAAAAGGGTAAAGCTTGTGTTCTAAGGCTATCAGAAGTTACGCGAGTTTCATCGAGAGCAAGCTCGTGAGAGACGCAAGCACTCCAGATGAAGTTTAGGTGCGCCCACATGTCGGAGTGGAATTTCGTACAGCTTGTAGCTGCGCGCTCAATACCAGCGCGTGTGCTGCTACTTGGACGGAGCTGGACAACCTTGCCGTGACACGGAGGTACCTTGATGCTTGGGTGGTATTCCCCCGTCTGAGTTCGTGTTTCCAATACTTCCAAGTTTTCAAATTTACATCGTCTCACCAGAACGGGCCAAACGTAGCCCAAAGGATCTTGCACAAATGGAGCAGGCCAACGTCCAAAAGTTCGGACGCCCCTGGGCAATCGTCAAATCCCCAGGTGCGCTCCTTGCAGCTCATCAAGCGCATGAAGTCAAGGCAGCTCGACACTGCAGGAACACAAGTGAAGCTCATTCTGTTGCGCTTTTTTTGCTTCCCAGGGGCGTCTCCCCTGACAAGTTCGTGATTGCAACAGCTGTTGCAGCATGTGAGAAGGTGCAATGGGGCCGTGGTTGGCAAGGTTCATCTGCAGTTCCCTTGGGCAGGCGCGACGCTGGGAGGAAGCTCTCGGACTACTCGCTGAGGCCGTGTTGTGCATGTGCTGACATTAACATCGAGCCTTGAGCCTTTGCATGATCAAGTCTCCATTGCTCTCCAGTCGCTCGAGGCATTTTCTCAGTCGGTGGCAGTGGATCGGATTCTGTGCACCCCTTGGGGCCTGCCTGGGACATGTGCGGGTCAGCAGTATCTCAAGATTATTTTGAAGAATCGTTTTGCGAGGTATAGCTCCGCAATCAGTGCTTGCGAGAAGGGGAAAGCTTGGAAGTCGGCAGTGCTCCAAGCGTCACATGGAACTCGCTTGTTCACTCTAGCTCCTTCCAGCTCTGGTACCGGTCCTACCTCGACTTTCCTCGACTTTCACTTTGTAGCCATTTATTATAAGTTTAGCTGCAATGGCTCAAGCTGAGGGCATCGCACCCCATGGCTACAGAACAGCCTGCTGGATCATTCTCGCATCCGGGGTTGTGGGCTTGCTGGCCCTGCCAAACTTGTCAGCATTCTGGCAGTGGGGCAAAACAATCCGCAAAGTCGGACTGCGCCAACTGATCTTCCACTTCCGAAGGGTCAGGAAGTTGAGAAGCTGCAGCATTTGTGCACGTGTTATCCAGCCAAGGGAGTGCTACAAGCTTTGCGGCTCTTGTGCTTTTTTGTGCTGCTCACAATGCGGTCAGCGTGATAAGGCTTCCCATAAGCACTTGCTGCATGATGAAGTTCAGCCTTTGGTTGTTGACACCCTCGCATTGGCTTCCGCCAAGTGTGCCGGCCAAGCTTTAGAGGCATCTTTTCGCCTCTACTCGAGCCGGCCTTGCTTGGGCTGGCGTGCTGGCAACTCTTATGCGTGGCATTCATACTGCGAGATTGGGCGCATGTCTTCTTGTTGCGCTAGCCGCTTGCAGACACTGCTGCGACAGCTTTCGGCACAGCTGTCAATGCCACAGGGCACTCACGTCGTTGGCTTGCTGTCGGCTGTCGGCGTGCCATGGTTCACTGTCGACTTTGCATGTTCCATAGCTGCCATCCCACTTGTCACCATGCACCGTGCCACAGATGATGAGGCACTGGCACATATTCTTGACACAACTGGTCTTTGCATTCTAGTGGCCTCCAGGCAGCTTACGCCAGTAATACATCGGGCCTCAGCTCGCGCTTCTGCTTCCCAGCTGCGGCTGGTGATTTGGATCGAGGATTCCTTCGAGTCCTACTGCCTGCAATTTTCATCTCGCCCACTGACAGAGGAAGAGGCAGCCCAAGCGCCGAGCTGGCAGCAAAAGGAGTTTCAGGATTTGTTACGCGAAGGAAGCGAGGAAAGCGGGCCCCTGACTGTGCCGGCCTTCAGGGATCCCAAGCGCGTGGCCAAACTTTTGCCATCTAGTGGAAGCACGGGAAAGCCAAAAGTGGCAGTGGTGACTGAAGAGGCACTTTTCAAGGACAGCAGCGGGCGAAATTTCGAGTCGCAGCAAGGCTGCATCTCGAAAAGTCAAGTGTGACAGACTGTGAAAGCCGTGATCTGTAAAGCATCGCCACACCCGATGGGATTTCTCGTCCAAGCCTATGCACTGAACTGTTGTGATCTCAGGTCAGTTGAAATTGTGACGTACGCATACGAAGCCATCCGCCAAAGCCACGATGTCCTCATGCAGGGCGGACGCATAGGCACTGGCCTGTGTACTGCAGCATTCACATACCCCAGAACCTTAATTTATCTGGATATCGCTTGACCAGAACCAGGTGTCTTCTCTGGCTCGCTTGATCGAATACTGGAGGATGCCAAGGCACTTCGGCCCACGGTTTTTGCAGCGGCACCAACGCAGCCCAGCTATCCTTGAGGACTGAAGCCTTAAGCTATCGTGCAGACTTGCAGTGTTCAAGGCATCGCAGATTAAGGTTCTGGAACGGTTTGTATGCGGATTATGAGAACGACGTCGCGCAGGAGGGTGAGCTCCCGAAGAATCACCAATTGGGCAGCACACCAGCATGCAGCCGCATATTCGTGGGCAGGGAGGAATGTCGAAGCCCTGGGCCGATGTACTCACGCAGATGTAGTCGGGATGCTTCGGAGTTCCACAGCATGGAAGGAGATGGAGAGCGAGAAGATCAATGAAGCTGTGGCGCGGGCTAGAGTTCTTGGCATGTGGCAGGCAGCTTGCCGTGACACACTTTGATACATCCTGGACAGGGGTAGCGCCCTTATTCAAGGTTACCATATCCCCACCAAGCACCCATGAGGCCCGAGGGGCAGGGTCTCAACATTCAAAACCCAACGCCAACGCCGCCCTCAGGCATTAAGTGAAGGTACATAAAGGCTTGGCCTTGAAGCCAAGAGCCCAGGGCCTCGAAATCCAACATAGCTTGACATAGCTTTACATGCTTGAACCCTGAATCCTGAAAGCTTCTTCGATACGGCCGTGTGCTGCGACCCTACATTCTTTTTTTTTGTCGGGCGCATTTGTTGTTTCAGTGAGGTTGGCAGCTGGTGACAAGCGGCGTGTAGTCCTCATGGCGGTTCAACTAAACATTTGTCGTTGGGCGACTTGCGGCTTAGACATGATGAACAAATTACGGCATCTGTGGGCCTGCGAGCAGCCAGAAGTGATGAATCTACAGCATCTAACATCGCGTCTGCCTGCACCTGGGCAGCAGTGACAAGACCTAAGAGAACTACGGTAGAGCTCGCAGTCTACTAAAGCCGTTAGCCCGCTCGAAAGCGCTGGGGTCTTCAACGTGTGCTGAGTGATAAACTGAATGCGCACTGGACCCCATAGCGTGGCCAGACGTTGATCGATATGCACAAAGCACATCTGGCAAGCGCCTTTCAGGACCGAAACGTGCTGGGCAACCGCATTGATGTGCTTATCTCTACTGGAGCACCACTGCAGCATCAGGCGCGAAGGCTTCCAAACATGTCCAAACAAGATCAAACCAAGTCTTCGAATGTAACCCACCGGAGCGAAGCTGTTAAGTGGAAATCAGGAGTTAAAGCGGGTGCAACCGGTACTCTGGCTGGCCCAAAAGCACTTTGAAAGTATCCTTGTGCTTAACAACATCCAGGTTGCTCCATATAATATAAGGAAGTCAGTTTGAACAGTTAAGATGCCGCACTTAAAAAAGAGAAACCCAAAGTAACGGAGCTACATGGCAGCGCCCAGACGGGACTTGCTCCGATTTGCTCCCAAAAAGTCATGTCATGCACCCCGCCTGCAGTGGACAGGTTCAGCGATTCGTCACTCGTGCCATGCTCAGGGGATTGTGTTTGGTCGCAACAATGTCTTGCGAGTTAAACTCTGGGTCGAGTTGTTTGATCGCTTGCCGGCAGGGATCTTCGGCAAGCTGGTTGTGGATGGGCTTCTTGGATGCAGGGCAGATCTTCGAACCATCTCAAGCAGCTCATTGCCCTCGCCATGGTTCCCTGAAGTGGTATGGTCATGCTGAGGTATGGATGCACAGAGACTGGCAGGCCGTTTGGTGGCCCATCAAACAAGCAACTGTGGCAGACCACGCTGTTTGGATACAGAGGCTGGCCAGCAATGGCTCAGTGGCAGAGAACGTGGAAATCCGCCTCCTGGATTTGCCTGAACTGGGCTATCTCACTTCCGACTGCCCTCCGCGCGGTGAGATCTTAGCCAGGACGCCCTACATGGCAGGACAGGTCAGCACAAGCATTCAGCGCGTTTGGGAACGCCAATTGCCCCGGCAGTTTCCAGACTGTTTCCAGGATACTTCAGCCTGCCGAGATTCACGGAACAAGGCAAATCTTCAATGACGCGCTCATTGGGAATCTATATCATAGCGGCTGCCGTACAGAGTTGCTGTCGAACTGAATCGTTTGCATGGCAGGCACCGTTCGGCAGATGGAGTCCGACACAGAGGACTGGATTGCACTCAATGGTGTGATGTATTTTCGAACCGGTGACGTTGGTGAGCTTGCTCCGTGCATGCACTCAGCCCATCTTAGCCCCATTGTTCCCGGACAGCACCAAGAGGCAATGCAGCCCTAGTCGCAAGGTTGCGCCTGGGAACATCCGTGTGATTGACCGCTGCAAGCACCACTTCAAATTGGCTCAGGGCATTTACGTCGCTCCAGAGCCAATAGCCGCCTGATCGCAGCTGCAGGGGGCCATCAGTTGAGATTTGGGGTCTTCTGTGCCGAAGCAACCGGATGTGTGGAGGAGAAGGTCTTACTGCAGAGCCCGCTCATTGCTCAAATATTCGTGTGGGGCTGCGGATTCATGCAGGCCCAGAGAGAAGAAAGGAATCTTGCAGTAGCAGCGCATAGCTCATTCCTTGAAGTCTTCAAAGTGCACTGCTGAGAACGTGGCAGGCTACGGGTGCCGTTGCGGTACCGAGCAAGAAGCTCCTACCGGCACTTGGATTTGGAAGTGCCCCGCGACTGTGCTGAAAAGGATGCATCATGGTAGATTCTGCAAGTCCAGTCCAGTCCTGCCTGTACATGGCCTCTAACACAATGAGCTCCAGGCTGGCCACTGCTTTGGAGTCGGCCAAGCAGCAGGCCTCAACCCTGATCCTTCAAAGTCTGGCAGACGTTGGCCAGAGATGCGGCCTGAAAGCATGGGCCGCTCGCTGGCACACGCAGTGCTGATCAGTGGCCAAATCCCCAACTAGTTAGAGTAAAGACTACGCGGACCATGTATGAGTGTCGAAGACCAGAGACGAAGGAGATTCCACAACGCCTCGTGCTGGAGCCCACCAACTTTTCGGAAAGCCAGGGATTGCTGACAGCGTCTGGGAAGCTCAGCAGAGCTGCCTTGATTCGCCGCATCTTGTCTAAAATGGGCTCCACGTCCTTTGAACACAACCAGAGGGCGGCATGATTGCATCAAGAAGTCGCGAGTAAGGTTATGGAAAAATGCTGTCCGCACCGCAGCTGATCCATATGTGTGTTCATGCTGTGGGGAGAGGGGCAGAGAGAGAGAGAGAGAGAAAGCCGCTTGTGGCACTGCTCCACAACGCTGGGCCGCGCGGATCGCGCGGGGGCTCCGGCCCTCAAGCCCCCAAGTGAAGTGAAGTGAAGAGAGAGGGAGGGGGAGGGGGAGGGCGTGCAAGCCACACATCTTTGCAAGATGCCGTAAGGATACTCAAGATGAGTGTGAGGGATTGGAGATCACGTCAGCGCTGCCGCCTACGACCGGTGTGTGTGCCGGCCTGCACAGCATTCTGAAACGCATCTCTCCAAAGCAGCGACTCGGCTGGAGCACCTTGAGCCGGCAGAGTTTAAATCGCATCAAGGGCTTTTTATTTTTTTGTTTTTTCTTTGTGTTTCGCATATCTTGTTCGCAGCGCATCCAGGAGCTTTGTGCCCACAGACTCGATAACTTCGTTGGGTTTGGACTCCCTGGGAGTTGCGCGACTCTGCGCGCAGCTGCGGCAACAGTTCGGACAGGAGGTTCCAGCTCGGGTCCTGTTCACGCTCGGGGCTCAGTCAAGAACTCAAAAAACATTTTTGCCCAGAATTTCGTTTAGTCCTGGTCACGCTGCCAATGGGGTCAGACAAGAACTACGTAGAAATAGAAGGGGTGGGATGGTACCTGCAGCACTGCATGGCTGGACAGTTTTCGTCGTCAGGTGGGGGATCTCTTGGGCTTTAGAAGGCTTCAGATTTTTAAGACTTCGAACCCAGCAGCCATTTTTAGAGCATGTTAGAGCATGAGAGCAGTCTGCATGAGCGTCGCCATGCGCCAGGCTGGAGACCCTGGCCGACCTGGAGCGGCTTATACTCGCGGGACCGCAAGCAGCTCGCGCCATCGTCGGCAAGTGTTCCACAACTGTGAACTTTGATGAGGAGGCAGATGCCAGATGCCAAGACCTGGCAGCCTGCGTTGTGGGCTTGAGCAGCCCAAGTGTTCCACAACAAACATCAAAGGAGTCTGGTATGGTGCTGCTGACGGGCAGCACAGGCTTCCTGGGGGCCTTTGCTGCAAGCGCACTTGCGCACAGTGGGTTAAAGGTGATCTGCCTGGTACGGGCCACTAGCCAACAAGAGGCACGTGACAGACTTCAGGCCTGCCTGCAGTTCTATCAGCTTGCGGACGAGGTTCCTGCCAAAATGATTGCCTTACCCACAACAGGTGTGGAGAACTCGTACCTGGGTTTGCCTGCTGAATTTCAAGGTGAGGCTGGCAAAGCAACTACAATCGTCCACTGCGCCGCGCAAGTTTCTGGAGTGTTGCCATACGGCGCCCTGTGCGCACCCAATGTGGTTGGAACAAAACAGGCCATCCTTCTAGCATTGCAGACAGGTGCTCAGCTCGTACATGTTTCTACCCTTGGCTTTGTGGATGACGGCCTATCGGAGACAAGCTGCGTGTCCACGAGGAACTTGCACAATCGGTCAGGATACGCCCAGTCAAAGTGGGTGGCTGAGCAACTGGTTTGGAAAGCGATGGAGTCATGTAACTTGCGAGCCGTAGTTTTGCGACCTGGCACGGTTTGTGCGGCACGTTCTGGTGCGAGCAACACTAAAGATGCTGTAAGCCTGCTGCTGCTTGGACTCGTCCAATTGGGCTGCACATGCTTATCTGACCGGTCTCCGTTGCCAGCTGGATTCAATTTGGTTCCAGTGGAGTACGTGGCAGATGCTATAGAGTCTTCGCTGACTTATGGATCAATGATGTTGTAAAGTGTAAGAATGCAGAGTCTTCAAAATTGAACGGGGTCTTAACAGTCTGTCGGTTGGCTTCGAACACTTTGATGATTTAGTCAAAATACAGTACGAGTACCATCGAAAACCCCTGGATGGCTCAAGCCCCTCGATCGTTCAAGGTGGTTGCGGCAAGATCGAGACGCAGATGCTTGGCCTTACTGGCAGTTCAATGTTAGGCTATGTTGAGCTTGTTTTGTTCTCAGCCGGTGGATAGCATCAGACCATGGAGCTCGCTAGGTTTGCCGCGGGGTCCAATTCATCTTTGTGCTCCTCAAGCCGTGGCCACTCGAACGTTGTGTCAGTGGTTGACTGAAGCTGGTCCATGACTTAGTCCCTGCATGCACCAGATCTGGCACTCTTTGGCCCATCTCGTTTGATTGGACCACCCAGGTCATGAGTTGAACGACCTCTCGCCCCAGGAATTCTGCAAACGAGTTCAACAGGTGTGCCATCGGACTTGTGCAGCCCGATGGAATGCTGCCATCATGCTGCCCTCATGCTGCCCCTAAGGTGGATGAGACCCATCCTCTGTTTGCTCTGCGCGGCAGTTTGGGGCAAACTCCCACTGGGCACTCTGCGCGCCTCCCCGCTGTGGAAGCCCTCCATGCAAGTGCGCTGAAGATCAGGAGCTTAGAGCACGGCAAAAGGGCTGGGGACGGAGAGAGCTAGGAATCTGCTGCTCATACATGCTCTCAGGACATCTCGTGTCATGACCAAAGATACTTTGGTCAAGTCCATCAGCTTTCTAAGAGCGGCCCATAATGAGCAGATGTGCCGGAAGCGAAATGGACCCATGGATGACGGTCCACAGGTTGAGCTTTCGACAGCAGAACCAAAAAGTCGCCTCAGAGTTGCTTTGCAGTTTGACCGGGGACCTGCCGAAGTCTGAGTACGCTATGGTCGTGCATGAATATGTTAATTTAGAGGCAAAGCGAATGCACGCATTGGTGATGGAAGAGCATGCACAGGTCCCGCCCGACAATGTCTCTGGAAGTGGCCGAGGGGGCAGTCAGCTGAAGGATTTGCAACGAAGTACGCTAGAAGTTTTTGCCTCCCCTGCACGTGCATGTCTAATTCAGGGTGTCACTCTAACAGCACCCCCTACAAGACCTGCAAGCTTCTTAAAAGGTTGGTGCAATTACTCGTTCGGCAGCGGCTCATGGCAGATGGTTCAGATGGCACGCGCAGCGACGCGATTGAATGGGCCAAGATCCTGGGAGACGAGCTGATGGTGGGCAGCAGAGTACACATAGCCCAAGCCGAAAAGCCAACGGCAGGTGCTGATTCGACGGCGCCAAAAGCCGACACTGATCAACCAGCAGCAAAGGATGACAAGCCCAACACCGTGCGAACATCGCATGTCATTACCAGTGGCTTGAAATTGCTGGTCCTATACTTCTCAGGGCGATGGTGTCCCGTTTGCGCAGAGTTCGACACAGTTATCAGAGATGTTTATGCGGGACTGAAGTCCTTGGAAGAGTCGTCAGACATCGAAGTTGTTTGGATTCCTTGCGACCTATCCGAAGATGCATGCAAGATTCACCTAAGGCGAATCGGATCCTTGCTCGGGGCCTTGTGGTCGCCAAAGCGCTTGCAAGAGCTTTCTGATCGGTGGAAGGTTTCGTCGATTCCAACAGCTTTGGTTCTGGATGCACGAGATGGTCGAGTAGTGACAGCATGTGCAAGACGGGACATGGAAGAGGTCCATGAGCGCGCAGTGCGCAGAGGATCAAAAGACACTCGGAACTCTGAAAGCTATGGTGCCCTCATGTTTCGATGGCTTGAACTCCTCGATGCGCAACGCGCAGCTTTGGATGATGGCATGCCATTGAAAATCGATGAGAGCTCCGACAGCGAGAGTTCCGGAGGGTCTGTGCGTTCCTCACGCAACAGCCGTGCGAGCAAAGCTTCATCGCGGCGAAACAGCACAAACTTAGCACAACAGCCGGCAGAAGATGAGAGCTGAGCAAAAGGATGCATGGTTGGGACCTGAACGTAATTTTTACGCTACGCGACCCGCCTCGGCCTGAGCTTCTGTAACAAGGCAGCCCAAACCAGGGGAAGACGCTGGGGGGACACCTGTGGCTCAAGGCCTCGGCGGATTGCTAAATCGCTGTTCATGGCCGAAAAGCATGTTATTTGCCATGTGCGTGTGTGTACATATATATATATGCATATCAGTTTCCTTTCGAGGTCCTCTTTTTACCACAGTCTTTGGGGAGGATCTTCTACACAGGGTAGCCATCCAGAGCCACTACAGGACCTCAAGGTTAGGCATATGTCTTTACGAGCCTTTCGAGGCTGTGCTTGCATGCCTTGTCTTACCTCAACTATTCCGGCTTTCGGTTGTGCTGCGTCCAAGGCATTGGCGTTGTACCATGAGATGCAAGAAGGAGGCCGGAAGTGTACTTTCTGCGCCCCAGCAGGACGTGCTCGCATCTGTCTTTTTTAAGCTTGCGGCAGGCCTTCAAGTCGACGCGATCACATGCGCGGAGCTTCAGTCTGCCCCCAGCAGTGAGTAAAGCAGCATCGAACCCTGTCGAGGTGCAGCCATGCTAAGTGCCTGCGAGAAGTGCAGTGCACCAAGTGTTTGCTGCTGTTCGTTTGAGCATCTTCCATGCAATCATCGCTGACAGTAAGGTTTGCAGTGGAATTGGGCGCTGAGTCTGTTCCAGGAGGCCGTGGCCCACGGTCCTTTCAGGGCTCTTCTGAGCAATACGAAGGAAGCAGTGGCAAGGTTCAGGTACCGTTTCTGGATTGGTTTCATACAGATTGATCACGATGCAGACCGAGCAAACTCTGCGGCGGCGTAAGGAGGCTGACCAGGTTCAACAATAGCACATCGAAGGAAGCGAAGGGCTGACAAGACTTGCAATGTGTAAGTGCTGCTGCCTTGCAAAAACGTGAACGCGTTCGGGGCATTGGCATGAACGGAATCGCCATGACAAGAGACTATAAAGCTATCGCGGTTCGTGGTTCCACGCTGGAGCAGGAATTTGTCAAATAGTCCCATGCCATAGGTCGCCCATTTGCAAGGCACCTTGTTCCTGGCAGGCCTCAAGCTCGCTGCTCGTTCTAGATGTGACGGCCTACAGCGTGGGCTACTGAACTATTTGCGATTTGCCGAGTTTACCACATACTCCTGCGTGGTCCGTGCATCTGGGTCTTAGGCAGCCATCAGCGCTTGCGCCGCCAGCGGGCAATGGAAGTGGGCGTTGCCCTGAGTGTTGTTGAAGTCGCAGCTCATGCTCCCGCAGCGCTGCGCGCGCCGGCACAACCTCTGCCTGTGAAAGATGCTTGGGGCGCTGAACGTCCGAGGCACTTCACTTGTCCTCAGAGATGGCAGTCGCAGGAGATATACTCTCAACAGAACCATGAAAGTCGAAGCGAAGGGTGTGTGTTCGTATTCTTGGGAGCCCCGCGAGCTGCAAGACATCTTGGTACCAGTAGAACTAGCATGTGCTGCAGGAGTGAGGCTCGCTGGCGGGTGTGGCTTGTGACAAATCTTTGAGCATCTTACATCCCGCTTCCAGCGCTTTTCTTTCCTGATGCTGACGGTTCTGATGATGGGAATGACCTGACAGGCCTGACACCTGCGCCTTTAACGCCGGGGCCTCAGCATGTTACTTAAACTGTGGGCCTTTGAATTGAGCTTGGAGACACAATTCTAGATGATCACTATGTACTGTAGGCTGTAGCGTCCTCGTGCGAAGCAGCGGGCCAGTGGCAAAAGGCATTGCACTCTGTAGTCGCGGCCTAAGCCCCTTTGAAAACCACAGAGTGTGCTCAGTTTCTCTCAGTTTGCTCCACGCGAGGCGACAATGAAGCTTCAGCGACACAGGTGCCGTTGCCTTCCATTTATGTGCGTTGGTGCATGCCGATCAACTTTCCAGGCCGAATTTCTTGACCTATGGGGTTGCTCTTCGGGCATGTGTCCAAGGCTGGAGCATGAACACTTTGTGATGAGAGATTGTTGAGTGCAGCCGGGGTCGCATCTCCCCCTACTTTTGGCAGCAGACAACAGAAGGCATGCACGAGAAGTGTTTCCAGCATGGCTTGTCGGAGCAAAGCATTGCAGGAGCTTTGTGGCAGCAGGCCATGGGATTTCTCCTTGCGGCCCGCCGAGGCAAATTGCGGCAGGAAGCGGAACCTCTTGCCATTTCGGCCGTTGCGTCTGCTCTGCTGCTGCAAGGCACCGTGGAGCTGGATGCCATAGCTTTCGCGACGGCAGCACAAGTCTCAGTTTGTCACCGATGGCGTTCTGTTGTCGGCCTCAAACATCTCAAAGAAGCCAGCAAAATTCAGCGCAGTTGCTGGGCGTAAAGAGCTCTATCGAGGCTGAAGCCTGTCAGCATGAAGGCCATCTTGAAAAGGTGGAGTGGGATGGACTGGGTGCAAAGCACGGGTGATTGTATGAGTTTCAATGCTGAGAGCACTTGCCGGGCAGCTATACGGCAGAGGCACAAATCGTGCCAAGCGACACTCGCATGTGGCGCAGGCGCCGGAGTTGCTTACAGCACTAGCAGAGTGCTCCGTCTTGTCTTTGGCCCGCTCCTTACAAATTGCCCCATGGGCCAGCAGCGGCCAGATCTGGAAACGTTGCCAAAGCCAACTTGTTCAGCAGCTACTGTACTTTGCCAGCGCCAAGTCAAACGAAGGCGAGTTCGGATGGAACTGCGCTGGCCACGCAGCAAAGCTGAAGGGCCGTGAACCTGCCAGCTGTTGCTGGCAAGGTCGCATGGCTCTTTGACATTTGGCACCGGAGTAAACATTGCGCCCGATGTTGACCAGATCAGGACACAGTAGTATCTGAGCATCCTTGTGACGAAGGTTGTGCAAACCCTTAGATGGCACATGCCGGGTGTGATTCTGGCTTGGTCGCGTGAACTTTCAAGCCGGAGACGGTGTTGTGATTCCTGAGAAGCATTTGAGTAGGAAAGGATAAGCCTGAGGGCTCACCTGAAATGGCAAGCATGCACATGTCAGTCACCAAATGTCAGCCCAAAACCTTTGAACAAGAGGAACTGCACCATGCATCTACCTTGAGTGCCCCTTGAACTTGCGCCGACATTGGTCGAGCTATGCCGGAACTGTCACCCTCTCAGGGCCTTTGGTGCAGTAATCTCCGGAGCAAAACGAACTGCAAGAAGCGAGACCAGATTGTCTGCGCATGTGCCCATCGTCAAGCCTCTCCTTGTTGTGATCCGACAAATCGAGGCCTGTGCCCGCGGCGGCGGTGAGAAATGGCCACGGCCACGGCCATTCTGCCGACTGCGGGCGCATACTGCTAGCAGCCGCCCTTGGAGTTCCTCGGCGCAACAGGGGAGCTTCAGAAGAGCACATCCCGCACAGACAAATTGACATGTACAAGTACAGACAACAGCACTCACAGCACCTGAGGCGCACTCAAAGCTATCACCAGCTTGGGCCTTTTGGCGCCTTGCGTTTGTGAGAGAAGGTGTGTGTGTGGGTGCGCAGTTTGTCCTAGCTTGATGACTCGGCGGCACTCGTGTGGCTCGAGCATGATAAGGCACATCAGTCAAAGCTCGTGCCCGCCTGGAACTCAGAGCACCAGGGCGCATGCAATGTGCAGTCCATAGCTTACTTGCCCGATCCTCAAGTTGACCCAAGCTGCTCCAACTTAGTCGTCTCCAACTTCGCCATTTTCCCCGCACGGAACTAAGAGATCAGCACATCTTGTTGCGGGTAGCAGGCTGTCATCGGCTTCTACTTCAGGTGGCAAAACAGCTCTGACGGAACTCCAGCCAAGCACTTAACCACGTGTCATCTGTCAGCCCTAGACAAACCCTAAAGCCCTAAGCCCCAAATTCCCTAAACACTTAAGCGATGATGGGCATGTGCATGTAAGACTGAATGCGGCTCTCTGACAGGCAAGGAGAGTAGCTGACGAGTACATGGAGGATGGAGACACTCTGTGGCAATAAGTTTTGTCAAGTGGCCACTAGCACTCACTAGCACTAGGTGAAAGGTCCTTTTCAGCATATGTTGTATGCTCAGGAATCGGACCAGGTCAAGCCTGCACCTTAACTGCCTTAACTACCAACAGCACATAAAGAACGATGGCTGTAAAAGGTGCGGCCGGCTCTTGATGTCACTAGGATGGATGGGGAGGAGCAGAAAGCCGGTTTTGGCTGGTATTTGGTCCGTGCAGGTCTTACCAACTTGTGCCGTGTTGCAAGAGAGCACTTCTGCAGGCTCAATTTGGTGCTCTGAGGTTCTGCTCTCAACGGCCTGCGCTCTCCTAGCAAGCATGATGCTGAGGCAGGCCGGAATTCTGAAAGGTGGAAAAACCTCGGAGAAGAAGCCTGATCAGGCTATGGCCCACAAAGTTTCGGCTAAATGCAACGTAGTTCTTGCGCACATGTAAGAGAGCCGAGGTGGCTTGTAGTCCAGCAACCTGATTCTGATAGCTGCGAGAAGGGAGAATGCGGGCATGTACACTAATGTACACCACCTGCCTCTCATTGCCAGGAATCCCAGGACCAGCCGCGCCAGCAACCAAGTACCTGAGCACATCTCGAAAGACTCAACGAAAAGCATTCGCGGACGCCGGATGGAATCCCAGGTGTACAGAAGGATCACAGCCTGGACTTGATTGAGACCATGGACCCGTTGATACACGCTGCCGCTACAGAATTAAGCACGTCGACACACAGTTGCAGTATCCGCAGGAGGAGGGCCACGCTCATGAGATTACGACCGATTTCGTTGTGCCGTTGCCCATCGGCTGCATATGCATATCTAAACGGGGCTGTCGCCCACTGCCGGCCACGCCCCAGATGGAGAGACATGTCAGGTAACAGTGAAGGTATCCTGCGCGCCGGCCGGTCGGTGCAGCTGTCCTGACTTATCCTGACTTTCAGGGCTTGCTTCATGGCACCGGACCCTTCCCTAAGGATGTCGATGATGCTCACTTTTGGGCTGACACAGGGGACGAACGACAAAGGATCCAAAATCCCACAAAATAATTGCGCGGTTTTTGCACAGTTTTACGGAGGCCCCCTTCTGTCGCTCTCGTGCGGCCACGGGGAGGGAAGGGGGGAAGGGGGTGGATGGAAATGGACCCGTGCCCAGACCCCGCCCGCTCCGCTTGTTCCCGTGATTCCGAGGATAAATGAAAGGTGGATCGACCTGGGGCCTGAGGTTCGAGCAGGCCAATAGCTTCAAAGATAAAAATCCACGATCTGCTGGCACGCAGGTTTGTCATTCCAGAGCACTTACCCTGAACACTTTGCCATGAGCCCCTGCCTTTGCCTCAAGGGTGCAGGTTGAAGAATGGAGGTTTGGTGGCTTCGATGCTCGCGTCTAGTTCGAGGAAGCACTGCCATTGTGCCTGGGTGTGCACTGGCCCTTGCATGGCGACCGTTGCCAATGGGCTGCCGAGCCGGGGGTCAAGGGGTACAGGAGGAGAAGAACCATCCAACGCCGCACAGGGTGCATAAGCTTGCAAAACGTCAGTCAGCTCAAAACACGCCTCAGGCGGAGATCCAGCAAGCTTGGCCCTTATGGACGAGGGTGCTTTCAGTTCCATAGCAAGGCCACGAAGACACCTGCTATTTTGGTAAGGCTGTGGCGATTTCGGGCCGTGTCCTCGGATGGAATAAAAGGAAAGGCGAGCCTTCACAAGCGACTTTTCGCCGGCGGCTTCTGGTGCCAGGTCCTGCGCTCGGAAGACAAGCTGTCGGCACGCCTCGTCACGGATGCAGGCTTTTTGGAATGCATTTCAGTTGTATGTTGTTGTACCTGTCCAAATCTATGTGTCGGATTGCGCCAATTGCTTTGCACCCTCATTCGGAAGGTGACTTTCTAATGCACGCCAGCGTCCGATTGGAGGCGACGGATCTTATGGTCTTGTGCTTGTGCTGGCCCATCAATGGGCATGGGCTTGACTTTGCAGGCATGCCGTATTGACTTCCACCTGTACGATCCTAGCTTCAGCCCAAAGAGGGATGCAGCAATGCTAGCTGCGGCTGCCAGGGGGCTGTTTCTGGAGGTGCCAATACTCAGCACATTATGCATAATGCTGTCAGGTCAAAAGGATCTGTTCAATCCAGCCAAGCCCGGGCAGACAGACTGTTCTTCTTGCACATGCAGTGGCATGCATGGGGGTGTGAGTATGCGAAGCAAATCCAGGCCAGCCTTCACAATGGGTGGGGCGCTCGACGTGTGTGTGTGTGTGTGTGTGTGTGTGTGTGTGTAAAGAGAAGCCCGGATCCGCCCGATCACCCAGGCTTCAACTCCTCCAGGGATACGTGGCGATTGGTCGCAGAGCAGCAGGGACCTCAACCCTGAATCTAGGCTGTGTAACACCTCGGAATCACTTTCATGACCAAGTCGCAGCTCGAAGCAACATCGCAGTAGTCCATTTGTCAGATGTCTGTCCAGGACTCGATTCCCAAGCAAACTGCATCTACCACGCATGTTTGGGGATCCACTGTGCTCCGTAAAGTCCTGAGTTTCAGATCTCGGTACATACGTCCCTTGTGATTCTCGAGGGTCCTGTGCGTAAGGGCTCTGCTGTCCAAGCTGCTGCCTGTGGGCTTCACAGTTTGCAGCAACTGGTTGGCGTTGGCGAATGTTTGCTAAGTTTCTCGCCCAGTTTCCCGGGTCAATGCATCTTTGCAGGTAATGCAGTATCAGGGGGATGGCAGGGTATGAATCAGAAGCCTTTTGCCCACTGTCACAGGAATCCTCCGTTTGGGAAAGTGTCTAGGCCCATTAGTTGCGTTGCTGATGCAAAGGTGCCAAGCGTGCCAGTACTTGCCTCCGCACCTCTCCTGCACGGCACACGGCAAGCAGCAGGCAAGAAGCACGGCATGCGCAATCGAAACATGGTGGTTCAAAACATGCTCACATGTCCATCTCCACGCGCACCCGACTGATTCCAAGAAGCCTCGTGCTAGGTGGCGGTCATCAAGCACAGGCAAGCTGCTGTCGGAGAGGGCATTTCAAACATCATGGAGGCAAACAGGGCAAAGCAGCTTGCGAGCTTGAGGGTACTTTCGGAGCCCAGTATGAATCCAGTGTTATGCTGGTCAATGCTCCAGGTTCGGATACCAGGCCTTTACCAGAATGACACTAGTGCACGCTGCCAAGGATTCTGCGTTCAAAATGCAAAGCAAGGCCGGTCGCTGCCGTGTGCCTTTCAGGTGCTTTGGTGCCCAATGCTTGGCATGCCGGATTTGGCTGATGCCGGAAACCCAAGCCAAGCACCAGCGCAACCCACGTGGGAGCATGTGGCTGGATTTGCACCTTGTAACTTGTAACCAGACTCACACGCTGCATTCAACGCAGGCTGAAGTCAGCAATGAGATGCAGGAGCTCATTACCCGGAAACCGGTATGGAATGAGCAGGCTCGATTGCAATTAAAGTTTCTGCATTGGATCGTCTTACTGTGGGCACGAAAGTTCGCCCAAATCTGGTCCTTGGCCTTCCCTTGTAGTTCTTGTTGCCTTTCTTGAGGTGCAGAGTTTGGTCTTAGATTTCAAAGGTCGTGTCGCCCTCAGCAAGCGGCCGGAGCGGGGTTGAAGGTTTCACATCGGAGTGGGGCCTCGCCAAGGCAACATCGTCTCCTCGGCAGAAGACCAAGCCTTTTTAGCCCGTGCCGCGATTAGGAAGTTTTCAGGTGTGTGATGTCTTCATCTGCCCGCGGAAGTGGATGGACCGTGAGCTAGATGGTCAGACAACTCAGCTGCAGTCAAAAACTGGCATAGTTGTTGTAAAGCACAAGCTCGCCGACATCTCGCAACTCAATGACATTACTCTGGCTGTGACAGCATACAGAAGCTGATCATCGTAGTCTTTTCTCTTTGGGCGGCGGTCAAAATGGCTGCTTCTTTCGAGGAGCTTCTCGGCGGCGGTAGTTTTTTGAACCTCTGTTTATTTCTTTGCAGTTCTGCGGCTGTTGAACCAAAGCATGTGCACTTGTACCATCTCAAGGAAAGTTGAAGCATTGCGCAAGCTACGTGATAAGCAGCTGGCCAAGCAGGCCGGCATATGGCATGCACAGTCGGTTTGCGTGACTCTGCTGCGACGTGGGAAGCAGGGGAAAGCTCGGAAAGAAGATCAGTCCGCGGCCTAGCACAGCAACAGCCGTACCTAGACACTGACACTTGCAAAGCATGCAGTCGCCTTCAGCAGGGGCACCTTCAGAGAGGAGGGGGAGCAGGAGTCACCAGCGCTTGAAGCACTTTGCGCTGCAACGAGAGACCGCGCTAACCCACGCTGCTAATCCTTGCACAACACGAGGAGCGACGACAAGAGGAGTCACGCGCGGATGAAGAGTCTGTGTTGGTTGACAAGAAAGCTGATGTTGGCCAGCAGAGCCACCAGCCTGGACACGCTGCGTCTCCGCTCCTCGAAAGCATTTTATTTGCCGCCGTGGGTAAGCAAACGTAAGCAATGCGCAGGCGGGGAGCGAAGCTTCCAAAACTCAAGTTGCTTGGCTTGAGCGATGGCAGTATGCATCCCTGTCTGAGGCAAAGCTCAGAATCGAAAGGCCGGCGGGCTCCTTTTGCTTTGTGTGACTAGCACCTGTGCCATCCTGTGCCCTTGCATCTGCAGTGAGGTGCAAGTCTGCAAGATGCCGATGCGTTCTTTTGTACTGGCCACTGCCATGAACGCGGCTTGTACGGCTGCGAAGTCGATCTCGAGGTGGCTGCGAGATTGATGCTGGGCTTCAATCTGATCTGGTTTGGCCAAGTTCTGTAAGTTCTGATGAATCTCCTGAATTTGCGAAACTCTCTTTGTGGTTGGGGAATCTACTGTATCAGATACACCTGAGAGGCCCTCGGACCTGGCAGGCCTAGAACACCCTCAACCCATCCCAGGCAAGAAAGTCCGAAAAAGGCACACCACAACGCGCACAGACAAGACAGGCCACGCTTCAAGACTCGAGGTACCGGCTTGCAGCTGAGAAAGGGCACACTGTCGCACAGTGGCGGCTTGGAGAGCTCTGTGAGCTGCTTGCCAGCAGCTGCAATGTCCTATGATGTCCAGTTGAGGGTGTTGTGGAACCTTCTTGTCAACAGAGCTATGGGCCAAGGTCGGGCTTGAACGGTCAAAGGCCGAAGGATGCAAAAGAGGCGCTGCATTGGTACACCTTAGCCGCTGAGAGCGGAAACGCCGAGGCGCAGAACGTGCCTTGGCAGAGAACTCGCGCTGACCACGACTTGGCATGTATGCCTTGCAAGTGAGGGTAGTTTCAGGTGTTGGGCATTCGGCGTACGCAGTGAGTTTGGCATAGTTGTTTGGAATGGCGTACGTAGCGATATGTAGCTACAATGTAGCTGTGTGTGTGTGCGCGTGTGAGGCTCTGGCCTTGATGTTGGAGGACGGCGCCGATGGAGTGGACCAGGACCTGGCAGCCGCTTTAAGGTGGCATCTGGCAGCGGCGGAGAAGGGAAACGCTGTGCTGCTTGCTTGCAAAGAACCGAACAAGAATGTACCCAGCGCCTTTATGCGAACCGCTGGCTGGCCAAGCACTTTGCCACTGTAGTTTTCTACCTGCTTAGCGTAGTTTGGTTCGGTGGCTGATGTCCCAGCTCGCAGGTTGTTTTCTGACAGGTGGCTTTGAATTTGGGAATACGCGCGACATGCCTAGCCAAGCAATTGTTGGGTTGCCCAAGCCTGAGCATCACAACATTTGGGATGACGACCTGTGCGTGACATGAACAGCCCTATCCATGTCGGAAGGTTCACTCAGGACTTGCACGCTCTCACGCCGATTTTTCGACACAGTTGGGCAGGTCCCAGTACTGCGCCGCCTGCCTGCTGTCCAGAAGCGGCGATGTTGAAGCGACCCACAAGTGGCTCCAACTCAGTGCAGACCAGGCAGACTGGGCTGCTATTGTTGATTGAAATTCTTGTTGAACGCTACATTCGGCGAAGTGTCCTTTCCGCATTGCCGTGCTGATCACCTGCAGTTTCATGAGTGCCTGCTGTGGGCAGGGCTTCCGGCCTGCAGAGCAAGTTCTGGAGGAGGCTGAGCTCATGCCTAGAGATCTCCCAAGCCAAGGCCCGCTGACTCTCCGTTTGGTTTGGGGAAGTCGAGGTAACATAAGTAGCGACTTACTGAGCCACTGTGTTGATTGGTGCGCATGCTGGCGTGGGGCAGGTCAAGAGATCCAGGTGAGCCAGCTAGAATTATGCAAGTA